CGTTGGGAAAGGGAGAGGGGGGGGGGGGCAGTTATGATTTTGGTGACCTTCATCATGAATGGCACAGAAGGTGAAGTAATAGGTGTTCAGTTTTTTTCTAATAGTAAAACTGGTGGCATTGAATACTGCTCACTGCTGGCATGTTCAAAGCCAGAAAAAGGATTGAACTCTGCACACAGCACCTAATTAAACTAAATATTTATTTAAGCAATATGATGTTAATGAAAGAAAAATTTGTCAAGAGTTGTTGAAAGTGAAGTTATCAGAATGCTCCAGAATTAGAAAGTCCCCGGGTTGCATACTGCTGGAAACTAGTACTTTGGGGGAAGCATTACTAGGTTCCTGCTCTGGCCTCTTTCTTGAGCATGTAGTATAAGATAATAAGCAGGACGAGGTAGACCTTTGGTTTGATCCAATAAGGTATTCTTGTACCTTATATGAACGTATCAGTCTTAATGTGTCAACCTGTTAGTGACTTTGACTGTCTTATTGTTTGCTGTCTGCAGGGTTTTGGACAAAAAAATGGATGCAGCTTTTTGTGCAACTAGTGTTTTTGAAGAGGTGTCAGGTGGGATGAATATAGGAAGGCTTAACAGGCTGACTAGGAAGATGATTAATAGAAGAAAAGGAGGAAAAAAAAAAAAAGCCTGAAGCCAAGGCTTAATTTAGTGATTGCTGGAAGCCCTGCTAATAGATTGGTTGGGAAGAAGGTCCTGTTGATGGATGTAGGCTGGAATGGCACTCTCGGAAGAAACAAAGATGACCAGATATTTGGGCATGACAGCCCTCACCGACTAGGTAGACCTGTGGGTTTTATACTAGGCTGTGGCTGCAATGTAATCTGCTTCATTTTGCAAACACCTTTGCAGAGTAAGAACCAATTTTATGCTAGTCTGTGAATTTGGATTGAGAGTCTTCATGGATGAGAGCTCTGTGTGCATGTTTTCACTTCTTCCTCTGAAGCCAGTGAAGTGCCAGTGCCTTTGTTATGTAATCCACACCTACACTCGAAGAAATGGTTTGCATCATGGCACTTGTTCCAATTAGTCTTTTAAGCATGAAAGAGATGATTGATACCACAGTGAGACAGATTTGTTGGTAGTCTTGAATGTGGAGGAAACTGTCTAGTCCTTCTGAAAAAGCAATCTAGTTGACTGGCAACTGCTTAATGTCGGAAAGGTTTGAAAAGATCATCTTGAGGCTGTGAAGAAAGAGGCTAACAGCGTGTCTAAAATGGAGGTTTTAAGTATGTTCTTTTACTCTCCGAGGTGAGCTATTCTGTTTTCTTAAATTGGTAAGGCTAACAGCTAACGAGGTCTGGGCTTCTGAGGTGAAAAATAATAGCTGAAAATGTTGTTTTGTTCTTAATTTGGCTAGGAAGTACCAGTGTTTAGCTAGCTCTGCTGCTGTTACTTCCCTGCACGTTACAAGAATTGTATAACGTAGGGTATTTGCATAGTCCTAAACTTGTCTGTTTCTTGTGACGTGTATATCCCTATGTCAAGCGTCAGAGTAAGGAAAGAAATGGCAGTTGGGTGCTGCTGTCAGCTGCTTGAGAGTGCTTCTATTTTGAGTAATTAGTTGAAACTGTTCATTTTGCAGCTCTGCTGTAAGTTGTATTTCTTGTCAGCATTTTTATGGTACTGGGAGGAACATAGTCAACTTCCTTATTAATTGCTGCAAACTGGTTTAATCACAATTTTAAACTTTTTTATGTGGGTGTTATGAAGGGACTATCAGACTAGTTAACTACTAAACACATTTACAATTAAATCTGAATTACTTGCACTAATTCCAAGGGCTTATTTTTCTCTATTTCAGAATAAATGGTGACAGGCTTCTGAACTCTTTTTCCTTATGTACTCTAAACATTTGCAGGGAAGTGACTAGAGGCAACTGCGAGGATCAGTGAATTGTAGATCTTAAGGTTAACTGACTCTTGCAGATTCTGAATGTTTCTCCTAATGATGATGTTTGTGGGTTTTTCCACACCTGTCTAATTGTGTGTGAGCAGTTACAGACACTGAATCAAATTCATAAGTAATTTTTTTCTTGAAAGTACGCTGTCCTAAAAAGTCTTGCATTTTACCTTCTGTAATGGAAGTTTATAGTTGTTGCCCACTACACAGAAAGCCTCGTGGAAGGTCTTTTATCTCTATGAACTGCTAGGGGCAGGGGGGGAATGAATAATTTCTGGTGTCGGGTTTTTTCCCCCCATATGTCAGGAAGCAAATTCATAAGTAATTTTTTTCTTGAAAGTACGCTGTCCTAAAAAGTCTTGCATTTTACCTTCTGTAATGGAAGTTTATAGTTGTTGCCCACTACACAGAAAGCCTCGTGGAAGGTCTTTTATCTCTATGAACTGCTAGGGGCAGGGGGGGAATGAATAATTTCTGGTGTCGGGTTTTTTCCCCCCATATGTCAGGAAGAGTTTTTAACTTTCTGATGGTGTATATTTCCCTTCCAGCTGGTACTCAGACAATGTCAGTATGTCAGCTGTGCTGAATTCCAATATGAAGTTAGTAACAAATATTTTGACTGACAGCTTTGGTCAATTGCAAAGCAGGAGAGGGGTTCTTCAGCTGGAAAGCGAACATTCCTGATGAGAGCGTAAAGGGTCATCTAATCAGTCTAAGAAATCAGCTTCTTTCGACTTATTTTTAACCCCTTAATGTACAGTCTTAACTCTGTATATCTCAATTTATTTTCAATAGGAGCAGCAGTATTTCTGACTTGGAACATGAATAGTAACTCATTTATATTACTTGAACCACCTCAAGAGTTGATTGATATAGGGGAAAGTAAATTAGGTGATTTTAGTAGATGTTTTAAATGTCTGATCTATTTGATAGCTCAGGTGATCTACAAACAGGTCCTGGAACAAGCACTGGTGAGCATGTAGTGTATTTAGTTCAGAGTTACTTCTGGGGGACTTTTATTCAGAAGTTAAAAAAAAAAAGAAACCTGAGATTTCTAGATAGAAGGATATTTTAGATGACATCTCTCCCAAAGTTATCTTATTTCTTTCCATTGAAGGGTATACATACTTCATATTAATTCCTCAAAATTTTCTTATAGAAGGAAACTGAAAACAGGAAACAAACTTTTGATAGTTTATAAACCACCTGCAAAGCTTTTCATGAGTAACTGTATGACAGTAAGAATGACCATTACTGTGGCCATTATGGAATTCTAGATATCTAACTAGACCTTAGGAAACAGAAAAGAACAGATGTCATTAAGATGCATGAAGCTGAGCCAGTATCCTGTTAAGGACTTCTAATAGCTGGAAGGTGACCTGAGTTCTGTGCCAGTACAAAAAATAGTCTACCGTTATGGATGAGGTCAAAGCTTAAGTTTTGACAGTGGCCATGTTCCTATATAGAAGCGACTGGCCTTGACACCTGATACAGAATGTGTTCTGCAGGGGCATCATGAGGATCCAGAATTGGAATCAACTGTGAGGGTTAGCTGATTTGCAATGACCAACAGCACAGCAAATGACAAATGCTGACCTTTAGCATTTCCCCAGACTTGCATGTTCCTGTTTGCAATGTGTCTTGGTAACTGCTACAGCTTCCTTCCTTGTGTTTGCAGTCGCTGGCAGCATGATTAACCTTGGAGGTAACTACTAAATGCCAGTTACTGGTCAGCTATTAAGATTTGCATAATGGTATCAAAGCATGGTCAGAAAGTTATGCAAACTCTGCTTACCACTATTCCTTGTTCTCAGTAGGCACATAGGTCGTTTCAGGACAGGTATTTTAAGCTACTACTGTTAATTAGCTTGCAGTGTTGTGTAGATGGATGTCCATAGCCCTGTGTGACCTCACTGATAAAGATTGCCTACAGAATCATGAATTTAAAACAAAGTTGAAGTGTAGATAAAAGTAAGAGGAGTTATACAACCTGGGAGTTTGTGTTAAAAAATATAAATAAAACATACAGTAGTTCTCCCCTCTGATTTCTTATGTTCTTCATCCCCTGGTTTATGGGGTATAAGAACTATCCTGAACACAAGACCATTACTTCTGAATTGTAATTGGTCATGAAAAGACTTGAAGTCTTCATCATTGGAGATATTCAAAACCAGACCAGGCAAGGTCCTGAGCAATCTGTTCTGGTTTACTGCTCATTGAGCAAGGAGGGTTGGACTAGATGATGACCAGTCTCTTCCAACCTTAGCTATTCTGTGATTCCATGTTATGTTCCCAGGATCAGCTTTGTACACAAATGTTTGTGTGGTTCATAGTAGGTCTGGTATGTCACCGATGGCTTAATGTCAAAACACAGTGACCTGAGGAAATGTTTGTCCTCCCCTGTAGTGCTTTACAATAACGGGTCATGAGAGAGAAGCAGCTAGCTTAGAAATTGTTGATCTGAGCTTAGAAATTGTTGATCTGCCACAGAACCCAAGTTAACTGCTGTAGCCAGATAAAGTTTCCATACCCTAAGTCAGTCGGAGAGCTGAATTTCTGCAGGGTTGGTTTAGCCTGCCTTTCCTAGGAAATTATGATTGTGTAAGTGTTTGATATTGCGTAAGTTCTACAAATTTAAGAGTGCAGCAGAGGCAGCTAAAAAAGTTGCAGCAATTTCTAGGCATCTTTTTCAGGGGTCACCTGGGAACTTCTGGTGGCTTGCTGCTGGTGAGGATTACCTTCCGGGGACTTACCTGGTGGCTTCTGTGGCATTTAGCAATTAACAATTACACTAGTGACAAGCAATATGTATTGATTCTCATTATAGCACTCAGTCTACACTGTAGCATAGAACATCTTTCTCTTTCCTTGTGAATGTAAGGAGCTGGCAAATAATGTTACATTCATCACTTTAATACTAACTTTCTGTTAGTGTTGAGGTTTTTTTTCTTAGTAAACTGAAAGCTTTCTCTTGCTGCTTCTGAAGCTAACAGTCCAAAACTCTTTGATTTGCACAAGATATTATTGAGATGAAGAGGGAGTTACTTTTTCCTTAAAATATTTTCACTCTTTCTGATCTGTTTTTCAGGCATGCAGAAGTGATGAAGAAAATAATCGAGACTGTTGCAGAAGGTGGGGGAGAACTTGGAGTTCACATGTATCCTTTTTTGTTACTATATGGTATTCTTAGATTTCTTGCAGTGTAAGGAGCGTTACCTCAAGATTCTTAAACTGGAATGCAATTGTGTGTGAAAGCAGTAAACAACTGCTTGTGGTAGCGCTTACTAGAGTTCTGGGATGAGCTCCTTTGTGCAAACAAACTGTTCATCAGTTGTTGGGGGGGGCAGGGAGGGTGGCAGGAGCAATGGGGAAAGTAGGTAGGATTGAAGGGACAGGGTTGAGCCCTTGTTTGTAGGTGTGTGAAGGAGATAGCTGTGAGTATGAAACCGAGATCCCAGTGTAGGGGGATGAGGCTGGAGGTTCATAGACTCTGGCCAGAGTGTAATCACTCCTCTTGGTACAGTAGCTTCTGTATTAGATTTGAATCCGAGATTCATTTCTGAAAGGTGTAGAGGTCCCATTATTCTCTACTCTGCATATGAGCAATATCTTGGTAAAACAGCTGACAAAAAAGCAATGAAAAATTAGTGAAACTGTTCTGAACATCAATATCAAATGCCTCACAATTGAAATTTTCTTAATAACTGTATAATTGCTAGGTGTTATTTTCCTATTAGCAAGAAATGCTGTTGAACAGACCATTGAATGTGACTTCTGCTTTGTTTTACAGGATTTCTAGCTATTGCACATTTTCCTTAACAAGAAACTTAGGTACCTTCTTATTTTCTTGAAATTTGTACAGGCGGTCATTCCAACGATAGAATATGACTACACGAGGCACTTTACGATGTAACCAGAATAAGAGATGTCCTGCTCTAATTATCAAATCTTTTTTAAAATAACCCATCCATGTGACTTATACAACATTATACACAATTTCTGTAACTAACCTTTTATCAAGTTGATGCATTGAAATAAAATGTTCCATTACCAGCCTTTTTAATAAAAATCTTTGTGTGTAATATAAATAAATCACTTTCATTCCTATACAGACACTGCACTAAGAGGTGGGATTTTTTTCTCCATAATTCCTTCAATTTCTGTTCAACAGAAGACTATTTTTGTCTATATTGGAAGCTAAAATCTACTTTCTTAGTAGAAGCCTAATGCTTTTGGCTTCATTGCTGATTCCTGAAAACGTGAATTTTTTTTTTCCTCCCATTTAAATTCACTTAAAAGCTGTGTGGTTTTTTCCTAGTTATGAATGGTTATGTTTCCTCTAGCTGGAGGAGGATTTTGAAAGCTGAAAGAAAATAAGTGATCATCTTGTTACAAGAGTTTGACTACATCTTAAACTAAAAGCTGTAACTAACCAGTCTTTGAAAGGTCATTTAGATGTACACTTGGGCAAGACTAGTGTTTTGAGATGAAATTTTTTGGGAGACAAAGGAGGAATATTAGTATGTACTCTGTTCATCTTGTAATAAAGGCAAGAACAGTCTTACTGACAAAGTTACAGCTTGGGGGTAAAGGGAGAAGATTGCTATGGTAGAGGAAGGTTCAATCTTGATTACTTGTCTGCCTCAACTACACTAACTGGTAGTCTAATAGCATGGTTTCCTTTTTGGGGTAAATATACATGGGGTTCTTTATGAATTCCAATATTGCAGATGCATCCAGGCTTTAGCAGCCACTTTCTGCCCTGGAAAATGTAAGGTTTTCATTAATGAAAATGGGAGGAAAGGACCATCATATAATGTATATATATTTATTAGGTTCACTTAAACTCTGTTTAGCTTTCGGGACAGCATCGTTGCCTCCCAAACATCCAACTTGCATTCTGCAAGGTAATCTGAAGTCGGGTGTCTGCAACTGGCTGAATTTACTGTTGGGTAGGAAGGTTGGTCCCTGTCTTGGCACAACTGGTCCCCGTCTTGGCTGTCCTCTGTACCATGCTGTTACTTACATGAGAGCTTGTAATCAAGTTCTGTGTACTATGCTTAAATTGGCTTTCCTCTTTTGATATCTATCTTCACTTCCTCTTTCTTGGACAGTATCTTAAGCAATGTCTGCATAAGTGAAGAGTAATGCTAGCTGAAACCTGTTAAAACTTAACCACACCCACTGAGTCATGCCATAGGATTTTCCCTAGCAGACTAATTTCAAAGATGTTTTGGGTTTTTTGGTAACAAAGGAAGTAGCTGCCCTCCACCCAACAAATAGGGGGGGTTGGAGGGGAGCGAAGTGGGAATATGACTTAAAATAACCAGCAGTGATGTATATTTTTTTTCTCTTTGCTCTGTCAGAATCTTTTGAAATGTCCCCTTCTCCCTAGAAGGTGTCTGTTCTCTTTTAGGAAGATGAATTAGTCTTTCACTGGTTTCCGGTATGTGGAGTTAACAAATAACACATTCTTCTTTGTCAGGCTGTTGACAGAAGTAAGTGGCATGATTTTTTTTTAAGTATAAACTGATGAAGGCCTCTTTCTCTGACTGTGGCAAAATAACAGAGGAGCACCAGAACTAAAGAGAACTTGCCAGTGGCTTCCATCAGCACCATGATATTTAATGTCTTATGGCATTTGTAGCACAGAAATATCTAGTATCACGAAACCTGGTGCTTGGTGACTAATATGTGGTGCTCTGCTTGGCTGGATATCAAAGTGGCTGTACCTGAGCAAACAAATTTGACCTGGGTACACTTGCAGCAGTTGTACTGTACGTTAATCCTTTTCTTCTGTTTGGGACTCGTATTAAAAATTCCTGTTAGAAGTGAAAATTGCTGTTGTAGGAACTGCTATAAACATAGGCAAACATAGTAACCTCAGTTATAGCTTCTGGCAAATCCTATATGGGTCACGAGTTGTCTGAATTTTCCCTCTACATCAGAATAGCTCCTGAGAAGTTCTGCTCTGCTGGAGTCCCTTTCCTACTTCACATCTTACAGTTCTTGTGGCTCTTTACTTGCCTCCTAGATCTCTAGCTCTTGATCTTGGTCTTTGAGTACATTCTAGTTTACAGCTGCTGCATGCAGTGAAGATGTGGGTGAAATTTTGATTCCACTGAATCTGAATCAAAGTTACGCACAGGGAATGGGTTATGATGCAAAGGGAATAGCCTTACAGAGATTTAAAATAATGACCACCACAAGCTCTATTGTCAAACTTAAGATACCTAGTCCTCGATTTACATGAAATACTTCTAAAATACAAAAAAGACTTGCTTCCAATAAAAAAGAAACAGAGGAAAAAAAGCAGTAACTTCCAAGCAATACGTGGGGAGTGCACTTCTGTATTTAGCCTTCTTGAAGTCTAATCAAAGTCTAAACTATAAATAATGAAGGGTGGAAATAGCGTTAAAGAATGAGGGCAATTTCAACTTTGTCCTTCTGTGGCTGCATTCTTAGGTGTGGGAAAGTGGAGCTTGTTTAACCAGCTTGCTAACAAACAGCCTGATCCATGGCTAGAGAACTAGAATTCCTTGAATTTGTCTGGGTGTTGTAAAGTCCATAGGGACAGAAGTAATTTAGTGTCGCCTTATGCTAAAAGCTTACTGAAATGTACCTATCTGCTTTCCTATTGGAAAATCACCTTCTCTGCTAGTAACTGGTGAGAATTGTTCTAAGTCTACTTTTTTAAAAAACAAAAAACAAAAAAAACCCAAAAAACCCCCAAAAACCTGGATGTAGCAAATGCAACCATATGAAAGAAGAAAAAGTTAATTCATCCAAAGTGTCATACCTGTTGTTGGAAGTAGGTATGTATACAACTTGATAAGGCTCTCATTTTTGATAATCCACTTTGAGTTCCAACAAGGATTTGTGATAAAAAGCTGCAAATCTTCCTAGTTGCAAACTCTTGCAAGCCTATATCACCTGGTTAACATCATGTTGTGGGCACTGGTATTCTCACTACTTTTATTCTCTACAGAAAGAACGCCAAGCTGAACATGCTGCTAGGCTGCCTTAGCATGAGGGCAGCTGGTCTGATTCAGCATATCAGTTGTGAGCCTGGGCAAATAAAGAAATCTCTTAGTAAAGACAAACTGGAACACTCTAAACAAACATGGCTTAGAGTAGGAGCAAAATTCTTTGTGGAGCCAAACTGAAAATTTTCTGGCAAAAATTAAACACACAGAAAAAAAAAAAAAGGCTTCCTTTGGGTCAGGCCAAAATTTTGAGTCAGACGTTATTAATGTAGTTTTTGAAGAGGGGAAGCTAGTATATCCTCCTCTCTTTTTGTTCCTTAAAATTATTTTTTTCAGACCAAAAGCCGGTGGTCTTAGACAAATTTGTTGAAGTACTGAAATTAGATTTGACAATGTTTAGAAAATTCACATATTTCTTTTTCTCTGAAACTGTTTATTGAATTTAGCATTTCTGTGCAAATAGTTTTGCGTCCTGCTAAATAATTGGTTTTGGCAAACACATTGACTGGAGAAACACCCAATTCTAATCAAGGACACTTGCTTTTCTCCTAAGGAAAAATACAGGTTTAAAACATGTGAATGTATTTAGGTTTAAATCAACATGATGATGTATCTTCTGAAGCCTTTAGCACCAGACCAGTCTGAAATGCTGTTCTATGTTCTTACTGCCTTGTAGTGCGTGTATGACCACACAAGTTACATGGCCTGCCTTCCTTTAACAGTTTTGCAGAATGTGTTCTTACATGAGCTGCCATCAAATACAAAACGCATATACGTATTCCTTTTGAATACGTTGTTGTCTGAAAGAAAGCTTAAGGTTCTCTGCCATCTTTTCTTTTTGCCTACTCGTGGTTTTTGACATAGTACACCTACTTTAAACTTCTAAAAATGAGTCATTTCACAGATTAACCTTTCTTGGCTTTAGTGCCTTCTTCCAGAAGTGGAGATATTTGTCTGATGGCTTCTGTTCCGAATTGTGCCCGGCAGATTTGGTAAGTGCCCCCTCTTGTCTTTTACCTACATTCAGAACCATGTGTTCACTGCTGATCAATAATTAACTCCTTGTTTGCCCATGAAATCCTTTCACCCTGCACTAAACAAAGTGTGCTTGCTGGACCATTGTGCATCGATTTGTGTGTTTGAATGAGAGAGAGAGAGAGAGATCTATGTTAGGGCATTATTAGCAACCAATTCAATTATTGTTTTACAACTTTTTCTTCTCTATACTAGCTCCCTCTCAGTCACTATAATACAATTGTTAAAACTGATGGCAGCCATCAGGATATGGCCGCCTGCTAGCATTTAGGATAGCGTTGGTGATGAAGTAGAACCAAGTTTATGGCGGGTCCTAATCTATAATTTGCAGAAAGTTGCAAATCACCACTTTACAGCTCTTTTAAAGAGTTACCTGTTCTTTTGACATTGCTGGTGACCAAATGTGAATTACATTTGAATGTGTAGGTAAATAATGAGGATAAAATATGAAGTTTGCTGCATGTGCAGTGTTGTAAGGTAGAAGAAGCCAAGATTATGGCTATATATATGAATAGACAATAAGGTTGCATTGTCTTGGAAGACTTCAGCCTGAAGAATGTATTCTGTAGTCACTTGTCATGTGACTAATAGCAATAGCTTGCAGGCAACCAATGCTAACTAAAAAAATTATGTGTCTGACATGGTGAAAGTCTAATACATACAGAGGATACACTTGCAGTATTAGAAATTAATGGTCAGGTGAAAGTGAACAAGATCTTTGGATTATTAATAATAATTTTCAGAACACTGAAACTTCTCAAAGCCTAAAGGAGACAATGTGATGCAATAGCTTAAAGAAAAGAAAAAAGGAAAAAAAAACCAGGCAGACCCAGATAATTTCAGGCAGCTCAGTCTTACATTGATCCTAAGAGGTGCGGGAAGAGGAGAAAATAAGGGAGTAGCCAATATTGGACTTTTTGTTCTTAAAGGATTAAAGAAGGGTAATACATGCTAATCAGTGTAGCTTAATGAAAAGTATATCTGGTCTAATTTGATGCTCTTCTTTGAAACTATCAGTATTATCAGCCACCCTTGTAAAAGTAATTTCACTGATGTAATGCATTTTTCATTCCTTTTACTATTTGATTGGTATTGCACGATTCATTGGCTAAGAAATTTGAAAAATACAACCCCCAAATTCATCAAAATGGATAAAAGAGAAGTAACTAATTGATGTCAGCTTTGATGATTGCCAGCTCACAGTCACAAAGCAAGGGGTTTTAAGCAGGTATTCTGGGTATTAATTTTTAGCCTGCAATATTTTAGCTTTTATTACAGGGAAGAACTAAGTATTAGAAACCTATAATGGAAAATTCAAATTCAGTCACTTAGTTCATTAAACAGAATTACAGGAAGACTTGTTTAAGGTGTATTTTAGTTTCATCTCCTCAGCCAGTCACATAAGAATATAAGAAGGTCTTCAAATCCCTGTATGGGACGGAGCTTTAGGAACAGCGTTGTAAAGCCCTGTGGGTGGAGACTGGACAGAAACATGAATCCGTTTCTGTTCTGACAAAGATACCTGATATTTTCTGTGTGCTTCTGTACGAATGTTGAAGACCTGGAGATGAGACAAGCTAATTTAAAAGTGAAGATGGTTTAGGTTTAACAGAATGTGCCAGGCACTTCAGCACCAGCTGCTTCCCATCAGTTCTGGATCGAAGGAAGGATCTCCATCTGCCCAGAGATTTTTTTCATAACATCTAAATGATAGGCATTTTCACACCAACTATGAAACTCTTAAGCACCAGCATTGAAATAGATCCTGAGCCAGAGATGAGATTGGGACCAGAGTAGAAATGAGACAAATATTATAACTTTTTACTTAAAAATTATTGAAGTAGTTTACCAAGGATTATGGTGAGTTCTTTAATCAAAACAATAATTAATTAGTAATGAAATACTATTGGATTGTGTTTACCTAAGATTTTCTCTTCAATATCAGTGCATGCATTCTGGTCCAACTTAATTGTTTCAGGATTCTGGGTTTTGAATCCTTTTCATACATAATGTATGTGTCAAAGCAGCTCATGGGAACAAGTGATTAACTCCATGCAGATGCAGTAGGAGGTAATTTAAGTTCACTTTGCTGCCTTGAAACGGTTCCATGATGTCTTATGCTGTCCAAGCGATCACGATTGTTTTCAGGTTTAGGCACCAAACTATCCTGAAGTGTGGTAGGGAGCATTTAGCTATTGGTCTTCATCAATTTTTTTTTTCCAACCATCTTCTCTATCTCTTCTAAGGCCATATGGTACCATATAGTTTGGATAGAATTAACCAAGCTGCCAGTTTGACCATTTTGCTGCTGAACAACGTATCAAACCTAGAATTGATCAGGTTTGCTTTTGAAGTAGTCTGGAGAAATGTTGTCCTTATTTTTGTCTGGATCTGGAATGGAATTATTTTGATTTGGGGTTTCAGGTAATTTTTTCATGAAAACATTAGCAAAACATTATTGAAAATTGTTGTGATCTTCTATCCATGAAAAAAATAGGTAGGAATTTTTCTTTTTCCAGTAATCCCAGTGTACGGGAAACACACTCAACAATTTTCTTGTTGTTTTGACAAACTTCTCAGCACTGGCAAAAGCAGGGAAACATTTCTGGTGATATAGTTGTCACTGATAATTAGCTGATAAGCTAATTATAAGCTTTTTTTTTTTAATTATAAGCAATTATTAGCTGATAAGCTAATGTCAACAGATCCTAATCAAGACTAGATAGAAGGATTCTGACTACGGGCAAGCCTTCAGGCTGACCTGTTAGCTGCCACTGAGAAGCCCGTTCGTTATCCATTACCTGAGATACTTGAGAGTGTAGTGGGAACCAAACTGAAGCTGACAACATGTTTGGAAAGGTTACGAACTATTATGAGTGTGCAGTATATGGTGATCTGAACTAGATTTGAACTAGATTTAGCTCTGCATCCACTTCTAGTCCCCACACCTAATCCCTCAGCAATTTGCCTTCTAACTGGGAATGATTTCTTAGGAGATGTAGCATCTAACTAGGAAATTTCCATCAGTGCCACCTGTGTGCTGGGTTTCTGTTTTCTGGGAAGACAGACAATATGCCCCCCTTCTTCCCAACCATGCAAATCAAACATCCTGTAATTGTAAGTAATCTGAGTAATTGTTTTCTGCCTCCGATATCCTGCTGCTTCAGTAGACAATGACCCAACCACAGTCTGTAGTGGAGCTGAAAAGCTGCTTCTCCTTGGTGCTTGTCTCTCACTGAAGATGGTGTGGAGGAGGGGAAGGAAGATAGTTTAAACAGTTTTTTATCTCTATTGGATCCCTGTCAGTAAGGGGAGGAGGAGGTGAAGAGCAATGACCTGAGCGTAGCAAATGCTGTTACCCTCTTGCATCACAATTATTTCATTTCTGAGGGGAAGTTAGAAGCAGCAACAGCAATAAAAGCAGCAGTTTCTGCCTCGTCTTCCAAAGCAGCATCAGCAGGCATCTGTAGCATGACACTCCACTGCATGCGTCTTTTCCTCTTGCTTCTCCTTGGTTCATGGTGGCCAGACTCAGAGAAGCATGTGGTGGGAGCTATGAAGGTCAGGGAGCACTATATAGCTGCTCAGATCACTAGCTGGACCTACAAACCGGAATCTGAGGAAAAGTCCAGGTAACGAAGTACAGGATAAGAAGGATGAAACTAGTCCTCTCTTGTGACTGAGTGTTTTATGTCTCCCGTCTCCTGTGGAATTTTAGAGCCCAGGAGGACTTTAGAGCCTGATCTGTTGACTTCAGAGGAACTTGTGTGACTTTAAACAGCGTGATCTGAACTGGAGCCAGTGAAGTATTAAAAGCTCCTTTTTGTTTACTTCATTAGTGGATAGAATTATTTTTATGTTTTCAGAGCACTTTTTCCAGGGCTTGCTTTTATCATCTTCTGTGTGAGTTGATGTTTGCTGTTTGTTTGTTTTAATGTAATTGTTTTAGGTATATGGATTTTGAGCAATGTTAAGTTGAGCCATGGTTTGGTAAGATTTCAGAAACTTCTGGACTCAGAATTTGCTGAAGGAATAAATATATTCCAATTTGGATACTATCACTTTCACTTAAATGAGAGCCTGATGAACTTTGGAACTAGTCATGTTGTTTCTGAGTTGTTCAGTAGTTTTTGTGAAACGTCCATCCTGAGTTCTGCCAAGTAAAGGTTGTAGGATCAAGCATTGCTATACTTTATTAAGTGAAAATACTAATTTCAGGGTTTTTTTCAGATAGCATTGCAGAATGGCCAGCCTACATGCATACAGCAATCAAGCATATAAAATACCTTCTTTGTATTACCGCTATTATCCTTAGGATTATAAACACTGCAAGCGCAATGCTACAGATGACAAAACTGGGATGTAATTTAGAATTCTTATGCTATGTTCACTATAGTCACCATACACAGCTTTTATTTGTTCATGAAGTGGCATGAAATGGTACAAATTACTCCTACATTCAAGGGGATATTTGGATACTACTGCATTTTTTTATATTGGTGGATCGCTGGTTTTCTTTTTTTGTTTAGCTTGTGATTTTTTTTTTTTTAAATGTATATTGCATTTCTGGATGTTATGGAAAGGACATTTCCAGATGTGATTTAGATTTTCTAACTAATCTTGTTTTCAAGACTAATTAAAGTTTCTATGATTTCTAAAACTCTCCTTGGAAGTTTGATGCAACTGGTATAATCATAATGTCAAACTGGCAAGACAGAAGAAGAAGTTTGATGCAACTGGTATAAGCATAATGTCAAACTGGCAAGACAGAAGAAAACAGGATTTAAATGTAGCAACATGAAGCCAAATGCCATATAAGTATTGACCCGGGCATGTGAATTTAGTAGTTAGAACTTCATTGTCATCTGCATTGGATGCATCAATATAAGTATCAACTGCTGTTTTGTTAAATGTCACATTGTTGATAGATAGTTTTCATGCAGTAGGGACCCACAGACAGCCTCAAACCTCAGTTGAAATACTCTGTGATTAGCTAGGGGTTTTTCATACACAGTGCCTATTGAGATATCTCGCATAAGTATTTAGAGCGAGTCACATCCCAAATGGGTCTGATGAACTTTGTAGAGCTTATAGAAATTTAACTAAAAAAAAAACAAACCAAAAAAAACCACCACCGCACCCACAAAGATACTCACTAAGGACGAGCTAATGGCTTGGATCCCAAAGGCATTTGGGTATGTAACTTGCTCTGATTTCAGTAGAAGCTGAATGTCTAAATACAGTGTAAGAATCTGATACTTTTTTTGCTTTTGGTTCTAAATAACTGAAGAGACGCTGAAAAGAAAATGGGTTCTTCCTGAACTATTTCCTTAATTTTCCAATCATACAGGCTAGAAAAGGACACTTAACTTCTCTGAGTGTCAGTCGTCTTATCGTCGTAGCGATTTATTTGTTACCATGTACAAGTGATATTTGTAAGACACTTCAGAGCAAAGTGAAGATGTATTATCTGTGCATGCAGTGTGGCTGCTGCCATTCCTGAAAATTATGTAACTAGACCCTGCCTGCATAGTCTGAGATTTCTGAAGTGTTAGAAAGCTACGTATGTTGTTCGTTCTAGCTATACAATTGGCGTTGATAAATTTCCTCTTCCACCCCATAGTCTTATGTGCATATTCTATTGAACATTGCCACATTCGGGCAGCACTTGTCAATGGAGGTTATGGATCGGGTCCGTCTCCTTAAAGAGTGAAGCAAAATTTTACCAGTGACTTTAAAGCGAGGGGAATGAATCGAAACGTGAACTGCTTCTGCCCGACTCTTCTGTTGTGAGAGTGTGTCGCAGAGGGATTTACAAAAGATCTCTACAAAAAGAGATTTCCCTCTCATGGACCCTGGGTGTCGCTGAAGCGAGCTCACTGTGTTATCTCTGCCCAGCCTATCTATGCTTGAGTAGCCCATCGACTCCCCACTATCAAATGTGCCTGAAAGGGCATTACGAAAAAAGCAAGTGGAATTACTGTTGGATCCAGTCATCATACGTACTATAAGAAATCAACCAATAAATGTGAAACTAAATACAGGCTATTATCCCTCCAGCCTTCTTCTCATCACTAGTTCCATTCCGGAAGTGTTGTGTGCTGGTTTCCTTCTGCTTGCCTAAATATTTTCTAAGAAAACATTGTGTGGTCTACTGGGTGCCTGATTCATTTACATAACAAGACTAAGGACACTTGCAGTGTTTCTCAGAAAGCAATTTTCTGACTTCTTGTGAGATCCTTAGTTGTTGTCAGGGAACAGTTTTGTGCTTGACTCCAAGGTCATTGCTGCTGCAGGAGCTTGCTGTTAATGCTGTTGTGGAATCCTTGTGGTGAGTCTTAAAGTTCAAGCATGGGGCTGAGTAGAGAAATTCAGGTTTCTTTCACTGTGTTTTGTCAGATGCTTTCTAGGTTAAGCATGGACAAGACATCTTCCTCTGTGTCTGAAATGGACAAACAGACATCTTCATTGCAGAATCAAAAGGATCTATAGAAATCACCAGCAAAATCAGGGGTAAACTGTGCTAGGTACTGTAATTGAATGTCTGATATGAAATGGCCTAGCTCAGGAATGTCCTAGATTCAATGGAGTAAGAGGGAGAGAGGAAGACACGACAGAGTTGGCCTGTGTGCCTTGCCTTCAGCAGAATGTGCAAGTGATTAAATGTAATTCCAGGATTCACTTTCTGAGATATCCGTTAAACAGCAATGGCATCTCTGGGGATCTTTGTCCTTTTAATTTTTTTTGTAACTACCTCTTTTGGTTTCAGATTGGAACATTCAGATCCTGTGTTTAAGAAAATTTCTTACAGAGAATATGAAGTGGATTTTAAAAAAGAAAAGCCAGCAAATATATTTGCAGGTAAACAGGAAGGAAATGTTCTGAGTATTTTTGTTTGTTGCTTGTTATAAAGCCAGTAACAAGCTAAGCAAGCTTGTATTTTTGTGTCCATTGTTTTGCACATAAACCAAATGGGCAGGGGGATGTGGTCTCTACAGGGCACTAGGCTTTCAAAGGCGATAGAGAGGTTGGATTTTCAGAGGCTGGGGCTCAGCACTATCTGCAAATTAATTGCACGGTACAAAGTTGTTCCCTTTGTTTTCAGCATCTGATGAGACTTCCCATACACATTTAGACTTATACGGCACAGTCACAGTGGTGACGTTATAAATTCACATGGAAGGAGCCTAAGGGCTGAGGCTAAATATGTTTCTGATAGATCAGTGGAAACGAAAAGAAAACTATGAGGTTGGGTATGAAAGATGTCCCCTTGCTTTTGTGTCTGTTACTGCTTGAAGATGCTTTAAATGGATGCAGGCAAGTTCTTGTACTTATGCCATACGTAAGTATGGTACTTGTGTTCTGATACTTATGCAGAGTACTTATATAGTCTGTCTGCGCTTCATATTAATAGACAAAATAACTTCAGATGCTAGGTGTTCAGATTTAGATTTCAAAGTAAATGTGTGTGAGGTTGGTGATACGAAATTGTTACAAGTTGCCCTGAAAGGTCTAGTCTATGATCTGATTCCTTCCAGTTTTGTTTGTTCTCCTGTGTTTTCTGAAACTGCTTCTTTCTTTTCAGAGAAAGAAGTTTACAAAACAGTTTAGAAAGAGACTAACAAGCCAAACGTTGTCTTAGTAGGCTTCTTCCATTGCTTATTTTTGCAACATGGGGAACAGGGATACAAGCCCCTCTTGAAACCTTATGCAGGCTATGCCTCAAGAAATTTGCAACATGGAACTGATTATTTCTTTAGATAACATTTTGGGATTGAAAGGTCTTTTTGTTCTGTGACTTCTGGCATTGAGAGTGCTACTCAAAGAAATGTGCTTGAATGCCTTTCTCTCAACTCTTAAACTATAAAACATCTGCCTTCCTAAAACTGTTTGTTTAAATTGTATGTGAAGGATTCCTAGAAATTCCCAATGAACCTCAACATGAACCTTTTGATAAATTTTCTGCATCTGGAAATACCTTTTTTTTTCCCAATTCTACCATTTTCCTGTGATTTTTAAGTGCTAGTTGCCAGATGTACGATTTATAACATTCCTGACTACAAGCTGCAGGTTTTAAATCCCCACGTGCCTTTTTACAGGTAAATCTTCATTGCCATGGTATTATATTCTCTGCCTGTATTAATTTTGCAACTTGTACTTTGAGAGTTCACGTTCCCTAATGGGGGAGAGAACTCTGTTTCACTAAACGTACTCTTTTGCTCACATTTTCCTCTCTCTTTATCTTGAATAACTACAGGACTTCTGGGACCAACTCTGCGTGCTGAAGTGGGAGATACTTTAGTAGTTCACCTTAAGAATATGGCTGACGAGCCCGTCAATATTCATCCCCAAGGCATAGTTTACAACAAAAATGCAGAAGGTAAATACTATAAAAACTCTGCTTTGTTCATTTACTTGTAGACTACTGCATGAAATATTGAGAGGGGCCCAGACCAATGTTTGAGGATATGTGTAACACAAATACCTGTTGATCCTGGATTAAAACTTCACACCCGTTGTTAGCTCCTTTCTTGTTCATCAGTGTAACACTAGGAATATGAGTGTCATCTGACACGCACAGTCTCCTGACCAGCTGTCTGTGTGCTAATAGTGTTTCACAGAATCACAGAGTGGTTGAGGTTGGAAGGCACCTCTGGAGGTCACATGGTCCAACCCCCATGTACTTGCAAAATATTCTGTTTCAGGACATGTAAACTCTTAAATGCAGGTCTTAAAAAAAACTTTTCCAAATCCCTTGCAATAGTGTACATCAAGGCGTTATTGGTAAAGGCACTTGACAGTGCTGATCATGTTGTTCTGATACTCAGCATTTCGTGCTCAGCTTTGTGGTGTTTTGCTCCTGCAACCCTCATGAGACTTGCAAAAAGAGATCATAAACTGTGACCAACTGACAGTTAAATGTCTGCACTAGCACAAAGTGAGTTTGATTGCCCGTGCTTCTTGGATTGCCCTGGCCTGGGTGCTGAGCCAGAGCTCTGACCTGCAGGTTACAAATTTGTTCAGGGCTTTGTTTGTTGTGTCGGTACAAAGAGTTTTGCAACCCCATCCCATGAAGTTGAACAAAACATGTTATTGGAAGTGATAGGCGGTTCAGTTTGACTATCTTTATTAATGTGCCTTTTGCACCTAGGATTTTGATTCTCTGGCTTCCCTTTGTCATATTGCAGATTTGTTGGATATGGTAGGCATAGATATGAGCCATTACTGCCACCTGGATATGCAGTGCACAAAAGGTCTAAGGCAGCAAGGCAATGCTAGCCTGCGCAATGGCTTTATGAGAGACAATTAGAAAATTGACAAAGTGGGCGGTATTCCTCCACAGAGTATCAGTAAGCAGAGGCTGAAGCTTCATGCCACCCTAACCCTAGTCAGACTGATGAAGAGCCCCACCTTTCGGCAGTGATGACAGTTCTAGGAAATCTTTAATCTGTAAGAAACAGGATGGTGGAATAGCTACTCTCCCCTGTGCTACTCTCCACAATGTGAGTGGAATCATGAGTTCACTCTTTGAAGCTGAAGTATCGTATAGGCAAGAAACAAACCAAGCTTTTGGAATTGATTGTAGGAGGACATTCCAGATGCTTTAATTGCTCTTTGTCTTCAAGCCACCCTACTGACTCTTTTCTTGGCAGGCTCCCTGTATGATGACAGAACATCATCTGCAGAAAAACGAGATGATGCTGTATTTCCAGGCCAGGTCTACACATATGTATGGGATATAACAGAAGAAGTTGGTCCAAGAGAAGCTGACCTTCCTTGTCTTACTTATGCATATTATTCTCATAAGAACATTTCAAGGGATTTTAACTCTGGTCTGATTGGAGCGCTGCTTATCTGTAAAAAAGGTGATTAAATGCTTTAAGACTGCTATAAGGTAATATAGTTTCATTTCTTAATAAAGTTAAGGTTGTATGATAATGAGGGAAGATACATTATTTTCCTTTTCACATCTTTACAGGCAGTGTAAAGTAAGTGGTTTTCAACATCTTTCTTTTAGATGTTAAAGTTTTTAAATGCCAGCTTTCATGCAGATCCATCCTATAATTATTGCATGGACAGAGTGTGCTATAAATAAATATATTTGCCTGTACTGAGTGCGCTATAAATAGATATATTTGCCTGTACTGGTTGCATTTTCAGTTGCTTAACTGCTAAGTATATGACCTCAAATTTCCTGCCTTAGAATAAATATTTTTTAAAGCTTCATTCAAAATGGTTCAGCCATTCCAGAGAATAAGGCAGGAAATAATTGGTTTACCCATGCCTTTTAAAGGCTGGCTGATCAAGAGGCTGTAGCACTCTCTCTTCTGTAACAAGGGTTTGAAATCTCAGAGCAGTGTGTCTTTCGCTAGTCATTTAAAAATATGGCCAAATTTGAACGGATTATAAGTCTTTGAAAATTGCTTTGCATGTTATCAGGGACTTGAGATTTTAGCAGTTTGAGTCACTGAATTCCATCTCCACTAATACGAACTGGTGTCTTGTAGGATTTGTAAATAACTGCTAGGTACATGCCACTGATTTGAGGGAAGTTTGAAACAGCATACCACTGTGTAAGCTACTTAAACTACTTGCTGGTCCCTTAAATCCTGAATTATTCCAAATTATATATCCTTCTTTTAGTGAAAGCTCTGAGTTATTTAGCTTGATTCTCTTCCCTGCAGTTTGAGTCAAACACTTTGTATAGACTGCAGACTGCATGGGCTTGGACCTTGAAGCTTTCCTGAAAGTAAACATAAAACCGGTTCAGCGTGGGTTGTACAAGGGCACTCTTCTCACTGATAGATACCCATTTAATTGCAGAACACACCGTCACCTCAAAGGAGTGGCATTAGTATTAATTATGTTCCTCCTGAAGTTTTTTGAGAATTAGTGCTTTTAGTATTATCTAGGACTTGTTGTTTTCCTAATTTTCTTGTGTTTTCTTTCTCTGTGTTTGTGTGTGTGTGCATTTTATGGCATACTGGTGTAGTTAATCTGGACAGATGCTTTGAAATTACTTGCTTTCCTTCCTTCACGGGCTTCTCAAATTCATGCATGTATTGTGGGCTTGAGTTGGATATGAGTTTGAGACGGATTGGTTTGACTACTACCTTCAAGACAATTTGAGCATGTGTTTCTAGCTAGAGCAAAGACAAGTAGCTAAATACTCAAATTTTTAAGATTTCTGAACAGGGTTTCTTTGACCGGGCACTGCGTGTGGTAGGTGTGCAACATGCCCGTGTATTTGGTCTGGCTGGTCTGGAGTTAAGTTTCTTCACAGCAGCTCATACAGTGCTGTGTTTTGGATTTGTGGCTAAATAATGTTGATAATGCACCCATGTTTTAGCTATTGCTGAACAGTGCTTGCACAGTGTCAAGGCTTTCTCTCTTTCCTGCTCAGACCTCCCCAGCTAGTAGGCTGTGGGTGGGCGAGAGGTTGGGAGGGGACACAGCTGGACAGATGAACCACATTGGCCAAAGGGATATTTCCTACCATGTAACATCATTCTCGGCGATAAAAACTGGAGGTAGAGGAAGAAGAAGCAGTGCAGGGGGAATGAGGGCTGTTGGCTTCCAAGGTGGCTGTTCCTGAGGGACTGGCTGGACATCAGTCTGCATGTGGGAGATGATGAGTGATTTCCTTCGTATTGCTTGGGTTTTTTCCCCTTTTTCCTTCAGCTGTTGAACCATCTTTATCGACCCACAAGTTTTCTCACTTTTGTTCTTCCTGTTCTCTCCCCTGTCCTACTGGGGGGCAGGGAAGCATTGAAGTGGCTGTGTGGGTGCTTGGCTGCTGGCTGGGGTCAACCCACCACAGTCTGACCCACTAAGAGCGGCGCATAGGTGGTATAACCTGGGAAGATTATAAAAAGTGGACTTTTGAGTTAAAGCACTGACTGAATGTTCTTTGCGTGACAAGCAGATAAATTCCTCTGTTGATCTGAGACTTCTTTTGTGCAGGAAAACAGGACTTTGTAGCCTCTCATAAATAAAAACGACTACATTAAAGCTAACTGCTTCCACTGCCAGTGTCTCTTCCTAAGTAGAATAACCACAAGGTCCCAAATTTTTAGTTCCTGCAGTCCAGAGGGACATCTATTTTAGTCCTGGATTATGTATTGAAAGTAGCAAATGGAAGTATTTGATGTGAGCAATCTACAGAAAGAATCAGTAAAACCACACCAGTTCTGTGTGGCATGTCCAGAATGAATTCTTCTTGTTGATAGAAATCACACCTGTATCACAAACTCAATTAGATGGTTTCTTATAACCGATCCAATTCAGCAGTATTTGTCAAAGTCTTTTGTATGTAAAGGTTGTGTGCTGAGTCGTCAGTTTTATGCGTTTTAAAGGGTCTGATGACCTCAGTATAGTGCTTGAAAAGGCACTGTTCACACTGCAGGTGACTCTGCCATCATTCTTCTCCTTGCCTCACAGTCTCAAAAGAGAGGCCAGCGTCTGATTGTGGACAGAAGGCTGTTTGGCGCTCCCATTCATTAAGGTGACCCCTACAACACATTGCCAGAATTGTCTGAGACAATTCACTGCGTGTTGTTTAATCTCCTCTGGAGTATTACAGACTTTTGATTTTGTGATTACCCAACCCAAAAGTACTTTCAGAAATAAAGTAGGTGTGCAACATGCCCGTGTATTTGGTCTGGCTGGTCTGGAGTTAAGTTTCTTCACAGCAGCTCATACAGTGCTGTGTTTTGGATTTGTGGCTAAAGTTGATAATGCACCCATGTTTTAGCTATTGCTGAACAGTGCTTGCACAGTGTCAAGGCTTTCTCTCTTTCCTGCTCAGATCTGGAGTTAAGTTTCTTCACAGCAGCTCATACAGTGCTGTGTTTTGGATTTGTGGCTAAAGTTGATAATGCACCCATGTTTTAGCTATTGCTGAACAGTGCTTGCACAGTGTCAAGGCTTTCTCTCTTTCCTGCTCAGACCTCCCCAGCTAGTAGGCTGTGGGTGGGCGAGAGGTTGGGAGGGGACACAGCTGGACAGATGAACCACATTGGCCAAAGGGATATTTCCTACCATGTAACATCATTCTCAGCGATAAAAACTGGAGGTAGAGGAAGAAGAAGCAGTGCAGGGGGAATGAGGGCTGTTGGCTTCCAAGGTGGCTGTTCCTGAGGGACTGGCTGGACATCAGTCTGCATGTGGGAGATGATGAGTGATTTCCTTCGTATTGCTTGGGTTTTTTCCCCTTTTTCCTTCAGCTGTTGAACCATCTTTATCGACCCACAAGTTTTCTCACTTTTGTTCTTCCTGTTCTCTCCCCTGTCCTACTGGGGGGCAGGGAAGCATTGAAGTGGCTGTGTGGGTGCTTGGCTGCTGGCTGGGGTCAACCCACCACAGTCTGACCCACTAAGAGCGGCGCATAGGTGGTATAACCTGGGAAGATTATAAAAAGTGGACTTTTGAGTTAAAGCACTGACTGAATGTTCTTTGCGTGACAAGCAGATAAATTCCTCTGTTGATCTGAGACTTCTTTTGTGCAGGAAAACAGGACTTTGTAGCCTCTCATAAATAAAAACGACTACATTAAAGCTAACTGCTTCCACTGCCAGTGTCTCTTCCTAAGTAGAATAACCACAAGGTCCCAAATTTTTAGTTCCTGCAGTCCAGAGGGACATCTATTTTAGTCCTGGATTATGTATTGAAAGTAGCAAATGGAAGTATTTGATGTGAGCAATCTACAGAAAGAATCAGTAAAACCACACCAGTTCTGTGTGGCATGTCCAGAATGAATTCTTCTTGTTGATAGAAATCACACCTGTATCACAAACTCAATTAGATGGTTTCTTATAACCGATCCAATTCAGCAGTATTTGTCAAAGTCTTTTGTATGTAAAGGTTGTGTGCTGAGTCGTCAGTTTTATGCGTTTTAAAGGGTCTGATGACCTCAGTATAGTGCTTGAAAAGGCAGTGTTCACACTGCAGGTGACTCTGCCATCATTCTTCTCCTTGCCTCACAGTCTCAAAAGAGAGGCCAGCGTCTGATTGTGGACAGAAGGCTGTTTGGCGCTCCCATTCATTAAGGTGACCCCTACAACACATTGCCAGAATTGTCTGAGACAATTCACTGCGTGTTGTTTAATCTCCTCTGGAGTATTACAGACTTTTGATTTTGTGATTACCCAACCCAAAAGTACTTTCAGAAATAAAATCACTTTATGAGCGTTCTTAAGGTCTTGTTTTGGTCAGGCTCAGCCAGTACATGCTAACAGGTGAAGCAAGCTCATTAAATACACATTAATGCCACTACCTTGATGTGAAAGCTGCTTTACTTCTGCTTCAAATTAAGACCTGTTTCTTCTTCATAGGAAGCCTAAATGAGGATGGGTCACAGAAACTTTTCGACAAGGAGTATGTACTGATGTTTGGCGTGTTTGATGAAAACAAGAGTTGGCAAAGATCAGCATCACTCAAGTACACAATTAATGGCTATACTGATGGAACGTTACCAGGTATTGTTCAGGCTTATGTGAAATGAAATTAACATTGATGAAGTCTGAATATTACCTTTGTTTGCTTTTTATGGAAGAGAACAGGAATGTGGAGGAATGAGATACAGCCTTTTTTAGGACATGTATCTAACTTCTAGAAGAGAAACTGTGCTGCTGGAAGGAAGTCATGCCATATTGCTGATAAGAACAACAAAATTACTTCTAAGAAGAGTTCTGCTCTAGGAACAGGATTACTAACTTTAAAAAAAAAGAAATACCTATTTTTTTTACTCAGCTGATGGGGAGAGAGTGATGTGGTTAAGTGAACTGCTGGTTTTACAGCATATAGAACATACTAGGTGAAGAACTTTCTGGAAGTGGAAAGTCAGTTACCATTAAATTAGACAATTAAGTGGGAAGACTAGGAAGGTGGTAATGGGGTTATTCTGTTGCTAGTGTTTTCCCCTTGTTCTCCTAAGGAACTACTTTAATATCTCTGTCCAGTCCATTGAGTAAATACGAAAGACTGTCTTAGGTGGGGTTTTTTAAACAAATATTGGATAGGGTAGTGACTGTCACTAGATACAACCTCATTCTTTAGCTTGGATCCTTGCTTTTTTCTGCCCCACTCCAGACAAGGACAGATCAGCTTTCCAAAAGAGGCTACTGGTTCTCTTCCTTCTTCCCCAGCTCACTATAAGTCAGGTTGTCACTGCATGCAAGATTTAAACACCTATCTTCCACTGCCATACAGGATTTTGATATCTGTTCCATTTACAAGCTTCTGAAACTTCCTTTTGTTGCAAACACTGATCACAGGAGTCAGAGATTTTATTATTTTTAATGTTTGGAGCGAAGATTCACTTCAGACCTAGTGTACATAGGGAACTTGCATGACTTGCCTGTATTCTGAACCCTACTCTCATTTCTCTTTCAGATTTAGAGGCTTGTGCATATGACAACATTAGCTGGCATTTGATAGGAATGAGTTCCAAACCAGAAATTTTCTCCATTCATATCAATGGCCAGTCCATGGAGCAAAGACATCACCGAGTTTCTGCTGTCAACCTAGTGGGAGGAGCGTCAACCACAGTAAACATGACAGTGAGTGAGGAAGGAAGGTGGCTGATATCTTCTCTTGTCCAAAAGCACCTGCAAGGCAAGGAAACATCTATTTATTAAGCAACTGTAGAGTTGTCCTTCTCTTCTTTATGTCCCAAATGGCTTCTACTGTTTTGCAATGGTACAGTTACTGTGTTTCAGATAGTTGTCATTTCACTAAGAAACCACTGGAAAACAAGGCATTCTGTTGGAATGAGAAGTGCATGATGAACTAAAAGGCGTTCTTATCCGCAGCCTTACTGCTGCGTGCACATCACAGAGCAACAGTGAATCAGTACTCCAGCATCTAAGCCTCTGTGAGCTGTTCAGATAAGCACCGTTATAAAATGAGTAAGGAACCACCTGTTTCCTGAGAAACACTTTCAGCTAAGGGTCACTCCATCTGATGAAAATATTTGCTGTTCATCATTTGAAAGTGGGTATCACTCTCTCAGCAGTGATCAGAATTCTGTTTTAAAGAATGAGAGAAATGTCTCTCTTACAAGAGCTGGAAGACATGTTTCAAAAAAAAAAGGGGAAAAAAAATAGCTTTCTATCTGTTCAGCTGGTATTTTCAAAGAGGGCTAGTTGAGAGAGCTTCTGTATTCCATTTGATTAATATGGGCTCCTTGGAAGGCTCCCAGCCTATATATAGTCTACATGGATGCAGCCTTTTCAAGCCTGAAAAGATGGCAATCAGATGAACAAATGCTTGCTGGCAGCCTTAGCTAAGGAAATGAGAAATGCAGTTGAAGGGGTAAGGGTTCATAAAATGGAAAATCACTATGGTACTGTTTCTTCTCAATTAGCTGGAATGCACGGTTACCTCACTGTAAGAGACTGTGGGGACAAAGAGGTGAAGAAGAGTCGTCTCTCCTTTAAAGAACGTCTTATGGTCAAAAGCTGGGAATATTTCATTGCTGCAGAAGAAGTTACTTGGGATTATGCCCCAAGTATTCCAGACAGCCTTGATAGGTAAAATAATACTTTGTCAACATAGTATGGAATGTTAACATGAAACCACAGAATAATTCAGGTTAGAGAGGACCTATGGTGATCCAACAGCAAAGTTGGATCCTGTGAAGGACCAACTGAATTAATTTCTCGGTAAGATGTAGCCCCAGACAAGCACACCAGGTACAGGGATTGCCTGGGGCAGGGGGATAAACAGCTTGAATGGCTTTCAACCCTTTTCAGCTCTGTGCATCTGCAAAGGAGATACTCAGAAAAACCACAAAGGAATTAGAGTATCCAACCAAAGTTGGATTCAATGGCAAAGTTGGATCCGGTTGCACAGGGCCTTATCCAGTTGAGTTTTCATTGTCTCCAAGGATGGGGACTCCTCCACTTCTCTGGGCACCTTTGCAACCTCACAGTGAAAAAGTTTTTCCTTATATCTAATCAGACTTCCTCATGTTGCACCTTGTGTCCATTGTGTCTCATCTCTTCACTGTGCGACTCTGAGAAGAGTCTGGTTCTGTTTTCTCTATAATCTCCCATTTGATAGTTGAAGATAAAAATAAGATGCTTCCTTAGCTGTGTCTTCGCACGACTGAATAAACAGGTTTTGTTTCTATGTCGTGTGCTCTAGCTCCCTAATCACCGTGGTGGCCCTCCACTGGCCTCTCACCAGTGTGTCAATGACTTTCTTTGCTGAGGAGCCCAAAAATGGACACCACCTTTTGCCTCTAACGGGGAGCCCAAAATACAAAGATGACTTAGAAAATGCCCTAAGTAGCATACAAGACTATTTTCCAAGTTACTTTTCAACATGAATTCTACTGAAACAAACAATCCTTAAGAGGAAGGAAAAGGGAGGGAGGGAATATTTTCTGGAGAATAAAAGTTTTTAAAAGTTCAGTACAATAAAGTGGTTAGGGAATGGGAGAAAGAGAGGTCTCTATAAACGGCCTTTGTGTGGCACCAATGTAGATGTAGTAAAAGTTGTAATAAGTAAGCATATTGGGCTATTTTGTTCAACTTAAGGTAAATAGAAGGAATTCTGTAACATACCTGAGGTCATAGTACACAATGCTGCCAGTGGACTGTAAGGTTAAACTTGCAATCTGTCAATTCCCCACTGCTAGAGTACTAGTTACTTTACAAGCTGATGTTCATAAGAACCTTTAAGGATTTAAGCAGAACAAGACAAATTCCTTACCCTGTAAGGGGTTATAGTTTCATATACCTCCTTAGAATATAGCGTTCGTGTAACTCTAAGTATTTCTCCTCTGGTGTGATTTGCTTCCCTTCTTATTTGCTCTTGGACTGCATGGAGCGAACTTTTATACATTTCCCTGCTAGTTACATGGCATTACTTAACCGCCTCGGTGCTCTGATTTTTCCTCCTTTGTTCAAAATTACAGAGTTTATCCCTGTTCAGTAACCTTTTTTGAAGCACTGGTGACCAGGACAAACATGTTACTCTGTGTTACTTCCCAGTATTTATCTTGGTTTTGCTCTCAGCATTAACAATTCTAATGTTTTTAAACCTGAGTGTAACACTATTTATTGTATGGTGCTTGAGTGGGATTATCTGTTCCTGTCTCTCCTAGAGTCTTTGCTACTGTAAGCAAATTGTTTGTTTATTTTTTCTATGCTCAACTATGCCTTTGTAAAAGGAGAACAGTGATTTCTGCTATCTTATTTTGAAAATGTAGCTGCTGCTTCAGTTTGTTTCTTTCTTGCATGTATAACCTATTAAATTAAATGTGAACGCTGATACTAATTGGTCATATGTGATACTAAAACACAAATAATGTTCCAAGCTTCTTACCTAATTCAGGTTAGAATTTGGGGTGAAGAGCATTAGGTTAGTTTAGGGTTTGGATTTCTTTTCAAGCAGTGAGGTTTTTACCAGTTGCTTGAGTACTAATTCTGTATTCTAATAGATGTCACTATTCAAGTTTTGTTGATCATTTGTCTTTTCCTTTATTTTTAAGACACTATAAAGCGCAGCACCTGGACAACTTCTCAAATCTCATAGGTAAAAAGTATAAAAAGGCTATTTTTAGGCAATATACCGATGCCAGCTTCACTAAACGTCTGGAAAATCCTCGTCCCAAGGAAACTGGAATCTTGGGCCCTATTATCAGAGCTCAGCTCAATGACAAAGTCAAAGTAAGTAACATAAATTCAGAGATTATTTATACTATAGCATAATTTTCTGTTGGACAGAGATACAAAAGAGCTAGTTTAATTTGCGTTTTTTGTCAAAAAATATAGCTAATGTTATAAATATTGGCCCTATAAAAAATTATGATCACAAGTGACAGTGTTTAGCTTAAATTTTTCAGCATTCCCTCTATAGTTTCCATGATTGTGCTTTATTTTACAACATAAACACACTTCATTCACACTCATCGTAAAATATGTTTATATGTTGACGCTGGTCCAAAATGGAAAAAAGCTAGACCTAGGTGGACTTCTGGGGGGATTTAGATGTGAGGCCAAACTTCACGAGCCCCTCATTCCTTATGTTGTTGTTTTTTCTGGCTGTTTTAGACAATGGTACTGGGTTTTCATAGTTAAATGTTCTTTCATGGAGTTATGAAATGAAACTACAAAGCATTTGCATTACAAGCTTGTGCTGCTGTCACAGCCGCTTGTCTTTCTGTTGTCACTTAATGATGCATCACAAAGTTTCATGACCTTTAATTGCCACCATGACTCTGTGACTCTGAATTTGAGTTTAGCACTTTTCTTCTTTTTTTTCTGATTTCATCAAGAATAGGCAGGACATTTTGCCTTTTCCTCCCATATCCCCTTTGGGTCTTGGAATCTGGGACAAGATTTGTTTTTAAATCTGTTTACATTTGTTTTCTCCCATATTGAAGGTTCTTAAGAACTTCGGTCAATAACTTCATATTCCCTGAGGTAGTGTGTGCCTAGTAGCTGGAAGAACAAGTGTTCTTTTTAGATTTTCCAGAGACCAGGTGTAAGAAGCTGAACTTCACTCAATGGGCTCTACAAAGCCCAGCAGCAGGGTACCAGCGGCATTTAGACTGTGGGTTTATATTATCAGACAATATTTAAGACATCCCTCTGCCTTTCCAGCACTTCCCGGGCTGAAACCAGGCAAATTCTACGGTAGTTGAAACTTTGTTCTGTATTCAGACAAGGATTTTCTGACTACAAAATTCTTTTTTTTTTTTTTTTTTCCTTCATTTGCCTATCAATATAGGTTGTATTCAAAAATAAGGCCACTCGACCCTACAGCATTTACTTCCATGGAGTGACGCTTTCAAAGAATGCAGAAGGAGCTGATTATCCTCTGGGTCCCACAAGTAAGAAATTCGTGAATTACATCTTGCATACCACTAACTGTTGTGGAAGGTTTCACTGCTTTACAGGAGATGCTGTGGCTAGGACTGTGCGTGACTGGGAGACCTCAATTCTATGCTCTGCCTCTGCTGACCTGTTGTGTTGCCTTATAGAGAAACCAAGGTATTGTCTGCAAAGCACAGACAAGTACCCTTTTTCGGTGTCTTAGTTTTATGTTCTTGTTCGTGATTTTAGAGAGAGACAAAAGTTCATGCTGAACTTCAGTTATCTCAGAGGTAGCTTGAAATGGCATAAGTGCACCAATTTTCATTAAAAGGCGCAGCCTGATGTTATATAAAGATCTGGCTCTAAGTTTGTATCGTTACTGTTCTCCTCCTTTATTTTTCCTTAGACAATGGCACCCAGAGCAGAGGAATTGACCCAGGGAAGACATACACTTACGAATGGAAAATTGCTAAAACGGACCAACCCACTGCACAGGATGCACAATGTATTACAAGGCTATATCATAGTGCTGTAGATACTGAGAGAGATATAGCCTCTGGACTGATTGGCCCCCTTCTGATTTGTAAAAGTGAAGCATTGACACAGAGGGGTATGCAGGTAACATGTTTGGCAACCTCTTAGAGAGAGATTTTTCTCAAATAATGTTATCTGATCTACAGTGAATTTGGTTTTGCTCCCCTTAGAGAACTGTCATGTAGAGAGCAATTAAACCAATAGGCTCCTGAAGAAATGACTTGAAGAAACAGTCCTATAACTGTTCACAGCGGTAGAGGAATTATATTCTGATTTTCTTAGCAAGAGCAGCATTTCAACGAAAGGTCAGCCTGACTTGAAAGTCTATTTCTAGACTTGATAATAAACTTTCCTGCTGCTATTATACCTTCACACTCTAAAGACATTCAGATCTGAGCTGGCCCCTTTCTGTAACAGGTGTAACTCAACAGGGTCTGACAATCTCGGGCATCACTGAATCCAGAGCAACTCAAACAGCATGGGAGAGTTCTGGGAGAGTGGTTCTCTTTGCCATCCATTGAAATCTTGCTTGGCAAAGACTTGAGCATCACTTGGGAGAAAAAAATGTCAAAAGCTTGTGCTCAGGTCAAACCAGGAGGCTGGTCCTTTTACAGAGAGCCCAGTCGTATACCATCTGTGTATCAGCAGTGTTAGTGGCTTGCTCAGTGCTCCACCACAGGTTGCTTGCAGTAGTAGGATTGTCACCTTGAAGCCTTGACCCCCTACTCCCTTTCACTTAGCCCTTGGATCACGCTTACCACAACTCTGGTGAAGCTTATATTGCTAAGTAAGTAAGACAGTAGGATTGAGTCCTTAATACGTGTCTCTGCTCGTAAAATGTAACTGCTGTGTTGATTGTCTTTCAGAAAAAGGCAGATGGGGAGCAGCAGGCAATGTTTGCTGTGTTTGATGAAAATAAGAGCTGGTACATAGAGGATAACATCAAGGACTACTGCAGCAACCCTGCCAGTGTTAAAAGGGATGATCCCAAGTTCTATAACTCGAACATAATGCACAGTGAGTGGGATATCAAGCTGAATATTATGAAAGCTCATGTGAACCTGAGCATTCAGTGATTGCTTGTTCTCAGATGTAGTGCAATCAGGGAATTCTCTAGAGAGTCAGTGAACTTCTAACCGTGCCAGGTTGCACTGTACAGAAATATGCAATCTTTTAGGGACCAGGCTGGCTCTGGACCCTGAAGCAAAGGCAAGGGTTATTTAATTTTGATGCAGCACCCTGCTGCCTTAGAGACGCTATTTCCAGAGCTGGAATCTCCATCAACGCTATTGTGGTTTCGGCCCTGTGCCAGTCTCTTTCCAGGTGCAAATGTGAGTCCAGTTCAGTGGACTGACATCAAAGAACAGGAGGTTTTAAAAGTCTTAGTCTGAAAATAGAGACCACTTTTATTTTGCTTTCCTTTTAGCAATAAATGGCTATGTGTCTGACAGCAGTGAAATCCTTGGATTTTGCCAAGATAGTGTGGTTCAGTGGCACTTCTCCAGTGTTGGCACTCATGATGAGATTGTCTCTGTTCGCCTTTCTGGGCACGCTTTTCTGTATCAAGGGAAATACGAAGATGTGTTGAACCTTTTCCCAATGAGTGGAGAATCGGTCACAGTGGAAATGGACAATGTTGGTAAGTGGTAAAGCTATAGCATTTGACAGCTCTTCTAAGACATTTTTTTAATCTCCAGTCTATAAGGACTTACCTAAATAGGAAAGAAATCTTTCCAGATAAACAGTGCTGGAAAATGTTGAACTGTTCCCCAGTGCAGCTCATGTGTATGGAGTTTTGTTGGCTACTCAGACTTAGCACATAGCATAATTGTATGCTATACTGAGGCTCTTTTTATTGGTGTTTTGTCAGGTTTTTTTTTTCACTTCACAATTAGTATTGGGGTTAGCAATGATCATTTTAAGGCAATTCTCAGATTGTCCTTGGAAACAATCCAGTATCAACTCCACTGTATGATTCCCAGTTTTGCCACAAACTTGTCCATCCTGAGTTAGCTAAAATGGGCCAAGACTGTCCAATTATGCTAGTCATTATTGGACAAAGTGGCTACACCTCACCTTAGGCTTGTGGTCATTTAGCAGCAGTAAAGTCTGCCTGACTGAATCGGATCACTAGTCCATCGGTATGCATCTCAATGTCTAACTAGGATTAATACCATACCTTGAAAAGGTGACGCTAGAACCCATGTAGACCACACTTACGGAATTACCTGCAAAAAGACAAAGATTCTTCCTCTTTGAAGACTGTGAGTGTTCAGTGATCATCCTAAAATCCCACAAGGTTTAAGTATCCTTATCCTATTTAAAATACCAATTTTTTTTTTTATCTTTTATCTATTTAAATAACAAATTCTTTATGTCCTCAAAGCTTGTTTTCGGTGATCGCACAGAATCAAGACCTTATGAGTTAAAAATGTATGTTAAGTGTTTTTTATTGTTCAACACTAGGGAATCATTAAAACTCCATCAGACTCTATGGAAACCTCCCCAGAAATGTACTTTTGCTTGATTTTGGTATGTGATCTGTTCTTTCCACCTAGGGCATGTTTTCTTTTGTAAATTTGCTGCTGTTAGAAATAAGGAAAGCTATGCAGGTCACTTCAAACTCTGATAAAGATAGAAAAATTGTATGTGACCTTTTTAACAAAAAAGGCTGGTTTTTTCAAGCTCTGTTAATTCTGTCTATTCTGTCATTTCTGCTAGTTCCAAAAGCAAGCTGTAACAAGCAAAGAACTTGATTTGATGCTGTTTAGGGAAACAGATTGTATTTTGTTCTCTGCAGATCCTAGTTTCAAATGGAGAACTTATCTTCTGACTAGGTTTTGGAGGAATTATTAAAACCTAAATTAATCTAAGATGCCTCAGATTGGCAGCTTAATGTTTTGTGTCCAGATTGGAAATTCAAATTACTTTATTCTTTTAAAGATCATCCTATATGCATTCAAAAGCTTTTAAAATACTATGTTTGTTAGATGTTTGTCAACGTTGCCTCAGAACGTATTTGTTCTGTTCAGAATGCTCTATCTGTGTGGGGATGCTAAGGACAGGACAACATTAAAACTTTGTCCCAAAAGATCCCAATCTTAGATCCAGATCTAAACATAGGATCCTTTATATTACTACTTTCTTTCTTTTTCATATCCATCTGTTTCATGGGTTATTTTTGGTCTCAGGTCCTAGGTACAGCTTAATCTGTGGAGAAGGAGCTCCAGCTCTTAGATGTATTTATTTATATGTGCTATTATTTATTTACATTTATTATTTTTCATTGCAATGAGAGCTCATGGAAATCCCAGGTGAGGATTAGCACTCTGCTATACCAGGTCCTGTAGAAACAAACCCAGCAACTTGCCCTGACCACTTACATGATAGGCAATGTCCACTCTCGTAACTCCTGCATATTAGAAAAAACACTTTTATTTCAATTGCAGGTACTTGGCTTTTAGCATCCTGGGGTACCCCAGAGATGAGTTACGGCATGAGGCTGAGATTCAGAGATGCCAGATGTGACTATGAGGAAGATTACACGTTTGATGTTGTGGATTTCACTTACGCCAAGACTGATAAAAAGGCTGTTTCTGCCTTAGTTGAAGAAGATGTGCAAGAAGGAGATAGGGAGGATTTGGATTATCAGGATTACCTGGCTTCTTCTTACTCCATCCGAAGCTCAAGGAAGGCAACAGGCGATGAAGAAAAACAGAACCTTACAGCATTGGCCTGGGAACAGTATGAAGGCACTGATGCCGCCAGTTCTGAGGTGGCGGCTGGCTCAGGTCTGATACCTATAAATAGTAGTGAATCCACAAACACCTATAAGTTCTTAGAAACTCGTATCACTCCTCTTCCCCCAATCGAGGCTGAAACGTTCCAGTCAAATCACACATCAGTCACAGCAGAAGAGGACTTATTTTTAGCTAGCACAAGTGATGAAAAGGCTGACTTGGTATTTGAGAATAGAAGCCAAAGCAATTATGAAATAGATCACGGTAACATGTCTGCAGGTGAACACTTGCTGAGCAATGGGGAAGGCCAAATGAATGTTGCAGAAGAGCTTCCAGCTGATGGAGAGGACAGTAAATTTTCTTCAGAAAAGCATCAGGAGGAAAGCACAGGAAAAGGAAATTATAACATTAACAGTAAAAGGAAAAGGCGAAACTTGCTGGCCATTAAGTTTTACTCTGTCCAAAAGATGAATGCCCTTCTAAGTCACGTACGAAATAAAAATGTCTCATTTTCTGACAAGGCAAGTGCACCTCATTCTGTGCATCACACAGAGAACACCTCTGATATAGACATGGTGGGAACTGGCCAGCTTCCAAATGATTATGATGATGAACTGGAAGAGGAGGAAACCAAGATGGAAAATGCCACGTGCACAGTTAACATGACGCTTGCTTTGGACCTCATTGTAGGAGATGGGTCTAATGCATCCAGCCTCTCTGAACCCAAGCTACCCAAGGATAAACAAGCAGACACTTTTTCTTTAGAACATACGTTAGGCAATATAAGCCCTAATTCCAGCCCTGCACTAGTAAAAAACTTACTAGAAGCATCATTGCCCAGGGCTGGGAAATATTCGTCTAAAATGACAAATGAGGAATGGAATTTGGTGTCTGCAAAGGGGAGTCTGGGATTAGAGGCAAATTTGGATAAATCTGTTAGTCGTGAGTCAAATCATCGTGGCAGAAATGGTACAGCATTCATAAATAAGAAGCATATGAAGAAGGATCAAGGGTTCTCACATCTAATGGGAGAAAAACAGAAAAGGAGCCACATGCAGCCAACTCTGAAAGGAAAGGAGGGGAACAAGAATGATACTTTGAGTACATCTGGAACCTTCATCAAGATCCGAAGGAAAAAAAAGGAATATCCAAAAATGAACCACTTGCTGAGCCCAAGGAGTAAAAAGCCCCAAAACATCACCAATTCTATGGCAGGGTTTGGCCGTACATTGTTTCTGGGTGAGACCAACCACACTACGCTGCCATGTTGCACTAACACCACAGGGGCACCCAGTGAGGCCAACCATACAGTGGATCTGAGTAGAGCCGGGCATGGAGAGTCGCTAAATTACACACTCACCCCACGGCAGCTTAAGCCATCGATCATGATTGGGCTTCCCCAAGAAAATGGAGACTACGAATATGTTACGGAAGGATCTTACAGCGAGGAAACATCAGGTGGTGAATACGAATACCATTATGTGAGCTTTGATGACCCATACATGACAGACCCAAAAGTGAATATCAACGAACAACGTAACCCAGATAACATTGCTGAACATTACCTGCGTAGCAAAGGGAATGAGAGGAGATACTATATTGCAGCTGAAGAGGTCTGCTGGAACTATGCAGGATATAAAAAAAGGTTTGGCTAAATCATTTGCTTTCATTTTGCACACCATCCTGATACATACTAGCAGAATGTTGATTCACATGCTGATAAATTTAAGAGCATCTGTAATGTGCAATGTGATTTCCAACATTTCGGTTGCAGAACCCTAAGAACTTTCCACGGAAGGCTGGGACCCCCCTAGAATGTTATAGAGAGAGATTACTATAATCAAGAGTAACACAACTAAGAACTTTTTTTTTCCTTTTTTTTCTTAACCCCCTTTTGTAGACTCACTAGAAACACTCTTTAAAACAGAAGTTGAAAAACCCACTGTAAAAGGTCAAGAGGGAAACTTCCAGTTAGTTTTGTTATACTTGAATGACCTATTTTACTTCCTCCTTGAGTTCTTGGATTCTGCAGTAGAGACGGGATAGAGACCTCCTTGTACAAAGTCTTCCCAGGAATTTAATGGACTGAGTGATCTAATATAGGCAGGATGAAATCACAGTTTCTAGCACTAGCAAGAAGTGGTTCTGGTGTCTCAGTTCTGTGTTGTAAAATGGGATAATAGCACTTTCAACTTCACAAGGCTGCAGTACTGAAAAATGTATGAAAGATGCAAAGTGATTAACCACGGTGGTGACTGCCTTATACTTAAAGTAAAAATAAAGCTGCATGAATTATTGCATTGTTGTTCCTACTGTTTAGAGAAATCAGAAGGTGACTGGATGACAAACCCTAACGTTGAGGAGGTTTCTTATACTTTGATAAGTGAAGACTGGCCACTATGCCACAGCAAAGAGTACATGTGACCTTGAAAGAAACTTTGTATGAAAAATTCATTATCTTAATTCATACAAATCAGGATCAGTGCTCGCCCTCAACCTGTAGAACTCCTAGTCACTTTTCATCAAAAAGCTGAACTTTGTGGCCCTTGAAATGAACAAGACCAAACCTGCCACGACTTCAGGTTTTTATCAAAAGCAGCAAAAACAGGAGCAAGAAAATTTTCATTATACAAAATTCAGCTCCAAACTTGTATTATTTCTCAAATTGAATTTCCATTTTATTTGATTTATATTTCCCCCCCTACTTCTTCAGTATTCTCCAGGTTTAGTCCTGCCTCATCTCAGTCCATATAAATGGCACTTGCAAAAATGGCAGAAACTATAGACAGTTTCTCTGCGCACTTGCAAAATAAAGAAATACTTATGCTCAGAGCTCTATATAGATCTCCCCGGTGAGGTTCATCCTCAGCTGGTGTGAGGTGCATAATTACAGTGAAATTAACAGAGCCCATGGCATATAGCGTCTCAGTGTGTTGAAGAGCTGAAAACCAGCCTTTCTTCCTACTAGATGACTTTGGTTAAGTTTCTATTTTTTGCAGAATTGATAATGAGGCAAGGTTTATAGGGAATGATAATATGTTTTATCAGGATAATAACATTTTGGTGCTTCTCTTTAAGATCTGAAGAATGGTTTGAATGCCTAAAATCTTTTTTCTTTTTTTTTTTCTCTTTTTTTTTTTTTACACCAGCTCTGTGTTGCAAAATGCAGATATAATCAAATGTAAAATGTGTTTCTGTTAAGCTTTCCAGAGAAGGTACATCTGTGAAATAGTAGGGTATAGGTGGTAGGCTCACTACACTCTGAGCTAAGCTCTGATTCAGATTATTAAGGCTAATGGTAAAAAAGGAAAATAGAGCTCAGGTGGGTTTTCAGAGACTAGTTGGAGTTTTTCAGTGATAGCTGACCAAATCTTTGAAGGATCTTGTATACAACTGTAGAACTAAAATTGCTTAAACATTGCAAGTCGTGATTTTTAGAATCATCTGACTTTTCTTTGTGTGTTTATTCTTTATATTCTAAAATGTTTCTGCTATATGAGTTCTCAGATTTCATCAAAGCTATTTCTGATTCACTGTGTGGGTTTTTAATTGGAGATTTCCTTTCAGCACAATGATGAATGACAAAACCTGTAAAGATGGCACCATATATAAGGTGATTTTCCAAAGCTATACAGACAGTACCTTTACGACTCTTCAGGATGAAGACGAATATAAAGAACACCTTGGCATCCTGGGGCCAGTTATCCGGGCTGAAGTGGACGATGTTATCCTAGTAGGTCAATGTTTTGAATATGTGTGCAGGATAAGATTCTTAAGGCGATCTTACAGTGTGACATAGAGTGGGTCTAAAAATACCACAAATTTTTAAAAGATCATGATGGGGAAACAGTTTTCAAAGCTAGAAATTGCAGTGTGGACATACAAGCACAGTGATGTGTTTCTTTGAAACACATCCTTTTTCTCTCCTATCCACGGTAAATTCACTTCTGTTTTTCTTTCTTATGTTTCCCAACATTAAGTACTGGCTTATCAGTCTAATGTAAAATGAGATTTAAGTTTAACATTAAAAATAAATTAAGTTTTTAAAACCAGATTGCACTGAAAATATTACTTTTTATATGTAAAGGGAGCGTCTTGATTTTTTTTAAAAGAAATTAGTAAATTTGTATTCAAGATGAATATATATCTATTTGTCCAAAAAGTGTAGTGTATTTTCCTCTGAAAACTTTTGCTGTAAATGGGTTGTTTAGTTCTAATGCAAACTACAAGGATGGAGAGGAACTGTATCCCTGGTGATACAGTGGTACGTTTGCATTAGGAAGCACATTGCTGTAGAGTTTCCCTTCTCTCATCCTTCTTCATCCAGTCTTCAGACACACAGGGATGGACTTAGATGGGGAGAGTAGATCTCACTGCTTTTTGCTTATTTCAGTAGGAGTAGTGCACAACAGGAACACTGAGCTACACTTAAAAACATGAGTAAGAGAAGAAAGAGGCTATTTTAGCTTGGGAGCATCATTCTCTCTAAGGAGAGGTAAATATGTAATCTCCCTACCCTCATGCTTCTCTGGGACAAGTGAGAAGCACCGATTTCAGTGAGAGTGATACATACAGAGGTCTAGCGTTACTATTTTGTGCCCTTCAGTACAACTGTGCAGCAAAGCATAAGAGGTAGAAACTCCCCATCTCCCTGCTTGCTGTAACTAAGTATATCCAGGTGTGAAGGGCAGCAGTAAAAGTTCCAGGAACCTAGACTCAGTGGAAGACAGAGTTAGACTCATGCTTTCTACTTTTTAATTAACTACCTGCATCAAAGAGGGTGACTCTGCATGGAGATGTCAAAAGCTATCCCTGCCAGCTTTGCCATGCACAACGTAGCCTGTAATCATTATACAAATCTTGACCCTGGTTTGAGGTCATGGGAATGTATTGTGTGGGGACTTTGGTTTAGGCCTGAATTTGCTGAACGGAATCTATTTCTTCTGTTGTTTTTTTTTTTTTTAGGTTCATTTTAAGAATCTGGCATCCAGACCGTATTCCCTCCATGCTCATGGACTCCTTTATGAAAAGTCCTCTGAGGGAAGCGTTTATGATGATGAATCTACTGCTTGGTTTAAGGAAGATGACGAAGTTCAGCCAAATAACAGTTATATATATGTATGGTATGCAAACAGGCGATCGGGACCTGTGCAGGCAGGAGCAGCTTGTCAGTCCTGGATCTACTACTCCGATTTAAATCTGGTAAGGAAATCAAAATAGAAGTGGTAGTGTTGCTGGGGTTGATCACAGAATCACAGAAACATTTATGTTGGAAGGGATCACTAGAGATCGTCTAGTCCACACCCCCCAACTCAAGCAGGGTCAGCTGGAGTAGGTTGTCCAGGACCATGTCCAGTCAGGTTTTGAATATTTCCAAATGATGTTACTGTATGGCTGTAGAAATGTAAGCTGCAGAACACGTTTTGGACAGCTGTCCTTTATTTTGGGCCTGATGTTCCCATCTGACATTTAATCTCTTACACTCAGTTAAAAGAGGATATAAGCTGTGGAAGAATTCAAATTGGTAGACTGAGCAGGGGAAAGTAAAGATACAAGGCAACAGCAATTCCGGCCTCTGCTTTAAATTTTTAGGGCCTGATGCATTTCTGTAGAACGCTATGAGTTTTTTGACATCTTTTGGGAAATCCACTTTTACATCTAATATTATTACCTTCTAGGAGAAAGATATTCACTCTGGTTTGATTGGGCCAATACTGATCTGTCAAAAAGGAACCTTCAGCAAGTCAAGAAACAGCAGAACATCGACCCGAGACTTTTTCTTGCTTTTTATGGTCTTTGATGAAGAGAAAAGCTGGTACTTTGACAAACGTTCTAGAAGGCCTTGTACTGAGAAGACCCAAGAAATGCAGCAATGCCACAAATTCTATGGTACTTATTTCACTTTGCCAAGTATTCAGTTTATTGGGGTAGAAGGAAAGGTGTTGGGGGAGGTATCTCAGCTCACAGTGCCTTTGAACATGCATAAATCCTACATGTTGTTTATGTGAATGTTTTGTTGTTGTTCTCCATTGTACCCATAATAGTCATAGTTTTATATGTAAGGATTAGCATTGACTGGAAATTTGTTATTAACATGAAGAAAGGACGTTAGACTGAAACTTTCAACTGAAAACTTCTCTCACAATCACAGACATCTACCCCTCCACATTTAAAACAAAAAGAAAAAAGAAACCCAAAACCCCCTCTTTTCAGTAAGAGGCTAATATCCTGAAAACTTTTTGCAAGAAATTTAAAAATACTGTAATAATTTGACAAATCAACTAGTTCTACTGAGGAGTTGGAAGCAGCTGTAGGACAGCCCTTCATATACCTCTCTGCGGATACAGAGATTTTAGTCATGTAGAGTTAAGTAAGTGGCTGACTGTTCAAAGGTAACCCTTTTTTCTCTTTGAAATAATGGTCAGTAATGAAACTCTGTTTCTGTCTTTGAAAATCTGATGCTTGTGTGCTGTAAGTGTGATCATGTTTGAAAAAGGCATGTTAAGAAGTGGAATCTGCCTTTTGAAAATGTGGTCTATAAAATCAGTTGTTAATCGAAGGTGTCAGTTGTGACTGTACAGCTGTGGAAATCTAAGCTGCAGAACACATGTTGGATAGCTGTCCTTTCTTTTGGGCCTCAACTTCCCATCTGACATTTAATTTCTCACACCTCCTTGTTCTCCTGGCTGCCATGTGTTGCAAGCAAACTGTGCCTAAATCCTCTGGTAAGGTCCCTGGATTTTCTGAATTGATGCACGTAGACTATAAAGTGTGTAGCATTTTGAATTGGAAAAAGTGGTGTTTTTCCCAAATGCGTTACTTCATTAAATATTTTACTCATTTTAATAACTACATTCTAGCACTTTGAGACCTGTTTTGTGAGTGGTTTTCCTTACTAACGGTATTTTTTTTTTTTCCCAGCCATTAATGGGATTACCTACAATTTGCAAGGCTTGAGCATGTATGAAGGTGAACTGGTCCGATGGCATTTGCTGAATATGGGTGGGCCAAAAGATATTCATGTTGTTCATTTTCATGGACAGACCTTCATAGAACAAGGAGAGCCAAAGCATCAGCTTGGTACATACACACTCCTTCCAGGTAAGTATCAGAGCAGAATAAAGTTCTAAGGGGGGACCACTGCAGTCTGTTGTCATCATACCAATGTAAAGGTGAACAGAAGTTGGCTTTGGGCACAGTAAGAAAGAGTTTGAGAGCACTGACAGTTCACTTGCTAGTGATGGTCAGAAGGAAAATCATCACTTTGCATCTCACTTAACACTGTGGGAGGGGGGAAATAAAGATAACATTGCTGTCCTCTAAAACTGGAAATATGAGTAAAGCTACAGACAGAACTTAAGTGCTTGGACAAATGTCTTCCTCTCAGATGAGAAGGGATATGTATGGAAAATGAATAGCAGTATGGTCTGCAGCACTACCTTCTGTTTGTGCTTTCCTTTCCACTCACCAGGTATATGAGCATGAGCAGGTTTCTCTCCTTTATTGCATCTCTCTTTTCCCCTATCTGCAAAGTAGGTCATAGTGCTGGGCTTGGCTTTGGCAGGTGCTCAACAGTAAAGGTCAGTATTGGAAAAAGGAAGTCAGTAGGATAGTGTCAGCCACCAATTCCTCGTGAAATGACACCTGTACAATAGCGCAGCAATCCTCTTCATGCGTCCCCAGGCTTCAATACCACTGAAGTCTCACTGATGTTTGCTGGGAGACTATTGGTATCTGGCTCAGTATGGTAAGCATTTATTTTTAGAATGTCAAGATGAGTGTGATACAGAAGAGAGAGAACAAATGTGAGCCCTGGGAGAATTCTTATGTCCAGAGAGAAAGGAAATAGGCTAAAAGCGTTCATTAGGCCACAGGATATACTCCTTTGCCCATCACCATCAGCAGTGAGAGCGTGCAATAACAGCACTTATGAAGCCTGTATTGCCAGCTAAAAGTGTTTATATAAGAAAAGCAATGAAGCATGTACTGTGCTTTCTAAGAAGTGCAGCGAACAGCCTAAACCATATCTGCCTCCTGCTCAATCCTTGGCCCTCCTGGGGCATGCAGAAAGTGAGGGGAGGGCCCACACATCTGATTCTCTCACATCTACTTTCGGATTCCTTACATCCATCCTTTACGTTACTTGAACAACACACTGGAGCAGCAGGAGCAAGAACTATAATCAGCATTGCAGAATTAACATCCCTAGGTTATGTAATAAATTTAATAGCACTGTTCGTTACGTGGCTTGGCACTGTTTAATATGGAGATATCTGTTGTTACATACAGGCATCCAAGGTTTTGTACTTTGCATGAGAGGCAAAGGTTAGGTTTTGAGCTGGTCACTTAATTCCAATCTCAGTCTCCAGCTGGAACTTGCTTGCTAAGAAAAAAATGATTGAGATGGTGGTAGTTACTGCTCTCTCTGCGATTTGTAGCAGGTTATTTAATTTTTCTGGATTAAGTCATAGGATGATCTTTTGATTTAACATCCAGCCTTGTTAACATCAACCTTACAATGCTGACGTTTCTGATATGTTTCTTTTCCATTTTTTTCAAGGCTCATTTAGAACAATTGAAATGAAACCACAGAGACCTGGCTGGTGGCTTTTAGACACTGAAGTCGGGGAATATCAGCAAGCAGGAATGCAGGCATCCTATTTGGTTATAGAGAAAGGTACTGAACTAAGGTGTTTTTTGGCTGGGGGAGTCAAGCTATAAAGTCATCTCTACCCTTTCAGGATCACTAAAAATAAATTTGGGAGATTGTTCTGCAAAAACCCAAAGCAGATTCTCTGTGCTTTCATGGAGGGGGTGGAGTGGTTACTGTGAACTTATTCTAGAAGAAAAAATGTTTAGCCTCTAGCATACTAGCTTCGAATTATTTAGCATACTACCTTTATTCCTTCAGCATACTAGCTTTGAATTTGAGGTTTCCTCACAGTGACCAGTGGATTAATCTGCTGAGAAATCGCGGAGATTAACTTGTCCTTCTCTGGGAAGAGAGTGGTGATGTTACAGCATTACTAAGAATTGTTCTGAATCATGTCTTAGAAGATTCCACCAGAATATATATTGGAATAGCCCTCCTTTTCTTTAACAACAAACTTACTGTGCTCTCTTTAGAGTGCAGGACCCCAATGGGTCTAGCAAGTGGAGTTATACTCGATTCGCAAATCAACGCTTCACATCATATAGGTGAGTTCATACTTGAAAAGGTCCAGGCATGCTCCTGAATATCCCCAGCAAAGTATTGCAGTTCCATATTCTTTTGGCATTTCATGATGTGTCTTACAAGACCAGTTCAGCAGTGAATCAACTGTCAGGTTAAAAAGCTCTCCAGTGCTGCAGAGACTGAGCTGTCCTAGGTAGCCCTCATCGTTGTACTTCAACAGTGTCACAGGTCTCCTGTCAGTATCACAAGCCTGAGAGTCAGGGAGTCCTCTGTCCGTGGCCTGCTGGATGACCTGGAACAAATCCAGCTTTATCTTTTTGTCCTTTGGGTTCCCTGCTTGAAAATCAACAGCAGGTGTTCAAAAAGCTTTTGAGATTCGCATGTGGTATGAGATGTGAAAGGACAAAGTGTATCTGTTATGAAAGATTTGGGAACCTGGCATCCAGAGCAATGACAGAGTCTTTAATTTATCAAGTATATTCCTGGTATAAAAGTGGGATCATTTGATAGAGAAATTGATAGAATTTTACATGGGCAGTGGTAAATCAAGGTATACAGGTTACACGTGCATGTAGGAACACACATCCTTTCCCTCGAAATAACAAATAAATTACTTATTTTGGAAAACTGATTTTTATGTGGATTTAATTTTCTTTCTTCATTTCCCACCACAGTGTTATGAAGGCTTGAAAGCTGTGTTGTCATATATATTTCATATCAGTTGTTAACATGGAAACCTCCTTAGGCAGAGGGAAGCTCTCTGCCATGAACGTAGAGCACATTTTGTGTCTGATCCTGCCGGCGGCCAAAACTTCTTTAGCAAACTCTAGACCCTGGTTCCAAATCAGTAGACAGTACATTACATAAAAGGCTGTTATTTTTAAAGTCATTCTGCCAAGTATAAAACTGCAGGGTAACAGCTGACTTTCAGTTGCTGACCATGTCCAAATTATCCTAGATTATGGTTTTAGAGTCTGTTGGTTGGGGTTTCTTCCCAAGACAGTTTGGAAAAGAACTGAAGCACTCAACATCATTAGCTAGTTACAGCCTCCATTTTTTTTCAGCACCTCTCTTTAAATTCTTGCTTTATTCAAATTTTCTGTCTAGACTATTGGGAACCTAAGTTAGCCCGATTAAACAATTCTGGAACATACAATGCTTGGAGCACTACAATGAAAAAAGAACAACCCCCTTGGATCCAGGTATGGTTGGTACAACATGTGCTTGACCATCATTGAGTCTGGGTATGGCCATACAATCCTGTGTTGTGATTTTCCTGCAACTTGTTTTAAAAGGTCAAGCTGCTCTTGTTCTTGCTGAGAAGACTGCTGGGGAAAACTGAAAAGATGCAGCAAGCTTGATTGGTGATACCAAAAACTGTCCACGTCCCCTGGAGTAACCCAGTCTCTACTGCTGTTGAGGCCCATTGACTGGACAGTTATCCTCACAATTAGGACTGTAACTGTTTTGTAGGCAAATGGAGTCATTCTTTCCATTTACTTTTTTTTTTCCTTCCATCTACCTAACAGTATATATTTGTATTTATGTATGTTTGGGTGATCATTTAAAGTGTAATACTCTCAAACATTGCTTCAGATAGTTTTGTGTGTGTTTGTTTTGGATGCTTCTATGTCCAACTTGACACATAGTACAGTGTGGCTTCACAGGGAAATTAAGCTTATGATTATGGCTTCAAGCACTATATTATTCAGTTGCCTCACTTCTTCCATCTTTTTCTTCCATCCCAATCAGTTTCGCACCAGATACCAAATTTGCACCCAAATTTAGGGAAGATAGTTGATTTCTTACAAATCTCATTAAAATTGGCAGTTGGGAGAAACAAAAGACTCAAATGAGTGTTGCAGTGCAAGTTCAACAGGTGGCTGTTATGTTTGGCTTGCTAAATTTGACATGCTAGCAAGTTAGTGGAGGTGAAGTAGGGGGAGAAGGTTGGGGGATCTGATGTGGAACTGGAAGTAATGTTGGGAAGAGAAAGAATTTGGTAAGGGACATGGTAGTGAGAAGCTGGGGCTACTGCAGTAAAGCATGGAAAGATGCGGAGGGCATATCCCGAAAAATGAGTTTCACTGCTGATGGGAACATCTTGCTGATTTGATTTTATGTGCTAAGTTTTTGGATCTGATATCAGCAGGAATGGTGGCTTTTCAGCACTTCAGAATGTCATGTGCCTTTTTTCAGTCTGGGTATCCAAAACTAGAGGCACCTTGTGAAAATGTGAGCCTTGAATTTCTCTATACTCCTTTTGCCTATCTGTAAAATGAGGATAGCAGAGTTCTGCCTAGCACGGAGACAGATATTTTTGAGGTGTCTTTGTGGTGCTGTGCTGAACGCTGTAAAATGGCCTCTGAAATTAAATGTACACACAAATAAATACACAAATGAAATGAGAGAGACAGCACTCATTTGGACTTTGGCATCTGCTTGTATTCCTCCTGAGAGTGTTAGTGTTGTGGGTTTTAAAATGCAGGGCTCAGAGGTATTGTGTAGATGCCAAAGAATGAAACGGTTTTCACTGTGCATTATTGGCTTTATAAACACTGTTTGCTGTTCCTAGGTGGACTTTCAAAGACAAGTTCTGTTAACTGGGATACAGACGCAGGGAGCCAAGCAGTTTTTAAAGTCCTTGTACATCCAGAAGTTCTTAATTTTTTACAGCAAAGACAAACGGAAGTGGAGCACCTTCAAAGGAGACAGCTCTCCAGCACAAAAGGTCTGTGTGTGCCATAGGGGTTGTGACAACCTAGGTAGCATTACTGGATGATGCAGTGTGGTGACAGTTTTATGTTAAGAGATAGTGGAAAAAATTATGGCCTTCAGAGACTTAATAATACAGCTTGAGGCCCCAAAGGGCATTACCAATCTAATCAAATTCAGACCAGAAGACAAATTACAAGGTGAGGAACCTCCTAGACTGGAGTTTAGATTGGCCCTGTGACCTTGACTGTATAGAGTCTGGCTTTCTCACAAGCCTCTCTCCCTACTTTTATTTCCTAAGCCCATGTCACCTTCTTGAAGCAAACCCTGAGGTTTCTATGGTACCACTCCTAAATCGAAAACCTGTTGTCTCTTATGTCTCCTTCTGCCTCCTTACTAATGTCTTATTACAGACTTATATAGTGCATAGAAATGGGTTGCTTATTTGAACTGAGACCTTCAGGCGCTTCCAAATATGCTAAGATGGGACCATGAAATATTTCGAGTTGCCCTGCAGCATAGGGTGCTCTATCACAGTGGATGGGGGCTAATGGTATAAAAAAGACTACTTTCACTAAAAAGCAGGTTTTCAGCATCCAAGCTTGTGTTTGCATTAAATTAACTCTGTGTGGATATTTTTTTCTTTTTTTTTTAATAGATTTTTGAAGGTAATTCCGATGCCTATGGGGTAAAAGAGAACATCATTGATCCCCCTATTATCGCTAGGTACATCAGAGTCTACCCAACTGAGGCCTACAACAGGCCTACTCTTCGCATGGAGCTCCTGGGCTGTGAAGTAGATGGTAAGAATGGATCGTGTGCTGGTGCTTCCTTTCTGGCAAATTTTTAACCTAATACATTAAGTGAAGCTAAAATTGTGGGTGTTCTCAATTCCAACATTGTTGCTTAGGCTATGGCTACTTGGATGAACTGGAGATAACATGGTGCTTCTCTTAACAGGTTGCTCTTTGCCACTTGGAATGGAAAATGGAGAGATCAAGAATACCCAGATAACAGCCTCATCTGTTAAGACATTCTGGTTTAACACATGGGACCCTTCACTTGCTCGTCTCAATCAGAAAGGAAAGATGAATGCCTGGCGAGCCAAGGTAACAAGTGAAAAATAGGGACGACAGCAAGACAGCTACCGTTAATATATTTGTGCTGCCTGTGTGCTCATGCGCTTCCTGCATGCTGTATCCAGTGCCAAGCGTGATAGGGTTACTTCACAGCTCTTTAGCCATCTTTTGGGAAGAAGCCCATTCAACTCTTCCAGTAGAAAACTTGTTGAACTTCTGGCAACATCAATGAAATCGTATTTTGAGAGGTGGATGGTGTCCTCTGGGCCAGAGCCTGCAGCACTTCCCTGCAGAAATAGCCCTTTTAATTTCGGGAGACGAATACCAGTTGAATATTTGGCTCCAAGGGGTTAAAGAAACCCTTCCTGGGTTGGTTTATAGGCAGTGCAGCTTAATGGATAATGGGGCTGGATGCTGGATGACCTTCAGCAAGGCATGTGAGCTTCTGTGTCTTCAAAATGAAGTTGCATTTCTTTACAAAGCACCTTGAGATTTGCTGGAAGCTACTGTTTTGTATAAGCATTTGGTATTAGTATTATGTATTGCATTTTAATACTGGAGATAAATCTGTGTTATATTTCATTATGTATTGGAAATTAATGTGGAAATCTTAAGACACCAAATACATCATCTGCAGTGAAGAAGTTAATTGTATGGACCACCAAGAACGCTTACGACTTTTGCCTCAGCTTTGCTCTTCTGTACTTCTTTGATACAGTTTTGGTGCATTTTGATGCAGTTTTAGCTATCTTTAAACAGGATTTTTCACTTAAGCAAATAAAGACACAGACACATTTGCTAATAGACAACCCTTTGTATCAATTGTAGTTGAACAACGACCAACAGTGGCTGCAAATTGATCTCCTCACAATTCAGAAGATAACGGCTATTGCTACCCAGGGGGTCACATCCCTATCTACTGAAAACTTTGTGAAAACCTATGTTATCCTATACAGCGACCAAGGCTCAGAGTGGAAATCCTATACAGATGATTCAAGCTCAGTGGCAAAGGTATCATCCTCAGCTCAGACAATTGTATCATTGCTTGGTTTTAGATGCTGAGCACAGTCAAAGCCCAAAGGCAGAATACCCAGCCAAAGAGATATTCTCAGAGGATTTTAAAATGCTAGGGAGCTGGGGTTACCACAGATAATGTCATAATATCCATCTGATTTTGATCATAGTAATTAACAGTAATGAAAGGAAAGAACTCCAAATCTGTAGAGAATGCAGTCAACATTGTGATAAAAGGAGCTGATGCTATTTGTAAAGGAGGACACTTAATTTGAATGAGTGAGGACATTTAATTTGAATGAACAATGGATTTCCCAGGGCCTCTTTTCAGCTTTTTTTTTTTCTGCTTTGATTTTATCGTGAAATTGTTAGTGAGCAGTTTTGCTGTAACAGAGCTGGAGAGCTCCAGATACCCACAGAGCAGACACAGTACTTTATACTGTTGCCCATATCACCTTACACCAACCTAACCCACAAGGGCTATTAGCAGAGGTAAAAAGTTAAAAGGGAAGCTTTTTTTTTAGTCCATCCAAATTAGAATGGCAAATTTCATGGTGTGGATGGAAACAGAGGCTGGGTGGTTTAAAGTCAAATAATTATTTGCTCCCCTCTATCTTGGAGAGCTCCAGATACCCACAGAGCAGACACAGTACTTTATACTGTTGCCCTTATCACCTTACACCAACCTAACCCACAAGGGCTATTAGCAGAGGTAAAAAGTTAAAAGGGAAGCTTTTTTTTTAGTCCATCCAAATTAGAATGGCAAATTTCATGGTGTGGATGGAAACAGAGGCTGTTTAATTCAGACTCAGATACTCCTGGCCTGCACTAGCTTTGACCCAGCGTTTTAGGAAAAGCCTGGATGTGATCTTACGTAAAATCAGAAATGAGCCAGTCCATCTACCCTGGATGGCTAATGCAACAGCTTGGAACCATTTTAAAAAGAAAAACCAGGGTTTTTTGAAGTGCTGCCTTTTAACTAATTGTGCATTTGTGTATTTGCAGGTTTTCTTGGGTAATGAAAACAGCAATGGGCACGTCAAGCATTTCTTTAATCCACCCATCCTGTCCAGGTTTATCCGCATCGTTCCAAGAACATGGTATCATGGTATTGCCCTTCGGGTAGAACTCTATGGCTGTGATTTTGGTGGGGGTCTGGCTGTGAAAAGGACTGACGAGTCTGGGAGCTCTTAACCTTTCGTCAGTCGTCATGCAGAACAACAATTTTTTTTTTTTTTTAAAAACCCTTAAAACAGTCATACTTAGTAGTTCAGATGTGTGCTTCCTCAAAGGACCTTAATGTTTTGCCAGCAAGAATTGAGAGAGATTCCTCTGGCAGATGTTTCATTCCTACAAATACACACTTTAGAAAACAGCTGCTTTTCTCTGGGAAGAAATAGCAGTCCCTTCTGATTTGCGTATCACTTCTTCGTTCTAATCAGTACTCTGTCTTACTTTTACTTAATTTTAAGTTCTAAATCCCTGGGGATGGAGACACTGGCCTTAATCCTGAGCCCTGATTATCTCCATTTGGTAATGCTTCTGCAGCACTGAGGAAGAATAGAAAGCTACAGGTGGGTGTTCTCCATACGTAGGGCTGAGAGGGAACACCAGTGCAGATATGGAGCTGTGGTGCTGCATTCCAGCAATGCCTCGGTAAGAAATGATTGTAGGGGTGGCCTCGCCTCCACATGTCTTTAATCTACACTATGACAAAGGTAGAACACAACTAAGCATTGAGGAGTATGCAACCCCTTCTCGGAGAATGTGGGTTTGCATTATTGATTCGGTTCTTGCATACCCAGCACACCTGAAATGCTGTGGATTTCACATAATTCATCTTCAGTGCCCTGGCAAGGGGAGGGGGGGTCAGCAATACCTTTCTTCCCCAGAAGTGAGGAGGGAAGTGATTTAACCTGGATTATGGTAGGTCATGGAATAGCAACAGTAGAACCAAAGTGAGAATCCAGAACTCCTGGCATTCAGTCCCATACAAACTTTTAGACCATGGGGAGAGGGAGCTCTCTTGAATAGGAAGGCATTGAGAACCATAGCTGTTCAGTGAGAATGCAACCTGGTGGTGGGAGAGGAGGGTTAGATGAGACTGGGTAACAGAAACATCTGCATCTTCTTTACCATTTAGCCCTGACAGTGTTTTCATTAATGGAACTACTCTTGTGCATAGAGCATACATGGATTTTTCCCAGGATGACTACATCTAGTGAAAATATATACACAGTCCATGAACTCGTTATTCCAGCAGACTTTTAGCTAAGCTTTCAGTAGTGTCTTTGGCTTCTATCCTGTAAATTGTTTAATTGCACAACTTCCACTTACCACACTAGGTACCCTTCAGCAGGGTGGATTTTTCAAAGTAGTTTGTGATTGAACCTTGTATAGTGTTATTGAAGTTATTTCAGTAGTTTTTCAATTCTGTATCTTAGGGACCATGCATTTCAAAATGAAGGTATAGAATGGGAGTGAAAAAAAGTATAAAAACTGAACAAATATTTTCTTTTGTTTTTTTTTTTTACTATGTCATAAACTGTTGTCATTTTTCACTGGAAAATAAAGATTATATTGTAGCATGAAAAACATCAACATTTTATTTTGTATATTTGCCTTGACAGTAGTACCTCTTTGACAATAATTAGTGAAATTTTGCATCACAAAAGTAAAATTTTCAGCTTGATGGGAATTTTCAGTACTAATTAGAATTAATTTCAAATGGTGAAACTATGACTAACTGCTTCATCTTAAAAGATCAGTTTCTTAATATTTTGTAATGGTGCTTAACTTATTTCTGTTTGATACAGCCATGAAATTGCAATACAAGCCATATTCACTAAAAAAAAAAAAAGAAAAAAAATGTAAACTTTGGAGTCAGGTTTTTACCCTAGAAAACAGATAATAAATGCTCGCTAATTTCAGCAGAACCATGATTTTGTGCGATAAGTACTAAACAATTTATGATCTTAAAGGTTCTACATAAGTAATTACACAGAATCATATCTATTTATATATAATAAACTAAAGGTAGGCAACTGCAAAATTGGTTGCAGGAGCATGACTCAGTACATCTGCATCAGTTTTACAGGTTGGAGATTCTGCTTCTACTTGCTAATGGATAGGACTTCGGTCAGCTGTCCTGGTTGCATCCCCTCCCCAACCTCTCACGGGCAGGGCAGAGTGGGAAAAAGAAAGGGCTTTGACGCTGTGCAAACACTGTTCAGTAACAGCTAAAACGGTGGTGTATTGTCAACACCGTTTTAGTCACAAATCCAAAGCACAACACCCTATGGGCCGCTATGATGAAAATTGACTCCGTAACACTGGTGTTCCAGTATGTCCAGTACAGGAACAGCAGCAGTGCCTGGGCCCTATGCCGGCCTAGGCACGTGGCCGTTGCTGTCAACAAAATGTTCCCTGGCACAGCAGAGTAAGATAAGTGCTACAATAAACAGCAGAAGTCCAAAATGGCCACTAAGCACCAGACTAATACACAGTAAGGCAAGCAAGCATGGGACCCTGCCACTTAACAGCTATAAATTCCACCTAGCACACTCTGATCCGATGCTGTTATCTCTTAAGTCCTCTTGCCCCACATTGGGCACCAGAAAGGACTGTGGTGGGTTGACCCCAGCTGGCAGCTAAGCCCCCACTCAGTCACTCGCTTGCTCGCTCCCCCCTAGCAGGCTGGGGGAGAGAATTGGAAGCGCAAAAACAAGAAAAAAAAGGCAGTTTAATAAGTGAAACAAAGCTGTGTGTGCAAGCAAAGCAAAGTAAGGTATTTATTCACCACTTCCCATCAGCAGGCAGGTGCTCAGCCACTTCCTGGCAAGCAGGGCCTCGGCACGTGTAAGAGTTACCTGGGAAGACAAACACTATAACTCTGAACATCCCCCCTTCCTCGAACTCCTTTCCCCCAGCTTTTACTGCTGAGCACAATGTTGTATGGTGTGGGATATCCCTTTGGTCAGCTGGGGTCAGCTGTCCTGGCTGTGTCCCCTCCCAGACTCTTGTGCACCCCCAGCCTGCTCGCTGGCAGGGCAGAGTGGGAAAAAGAAAAGGCCTTGGTGCTCTGCAAACACCGTTCAGCAATAGCTAAAACATCGGCATGTTATCAAGACTGTTTTAGTCACAAATCGAAAGCACAGCACTATACAGGCTGCTATGAAGAAAATGAACTCCATCCTAGCCAGACCAAGTACACAAACTATTTCCAAATGCAAATGGGGGCTCAAATTCTTGGTCCATTTTTACAGCAAAGAAGATGTGAAAACATAACCTGTACCGGATCTGCCAAACGGAAGGTAAGCTATGTTTAGTGAGCCTGTAGATGATTGGAAAACCATGGACTTTTATCGTTTTCATGAAGCAACCGGTTTAGATTGAATCTGCCGAGGCTTTTGGGAATTTGTAGTTAAAACAGTCAGTCTTGCACTACTTTTTACACACTATGGAATGAAATCCTGTGTATGCTGAAGTTATTTGCAAAATACACAAGGGGAGCAAAAGTTCCTGCGGTTCTCTCAAACTAAAGAATAAAGATGCGTATCGCAGCATGAATGTTAGCAAACACAAGCTCTTTCGGACTGAGGGAGAAATGTGGTGCCAGAGTTCAGAGCATTCACATGTGGCCAATAATTTCTTCACTCACAAATCTGGGTTGGATGCCTTCACACTGGCCTCTTGATCCAAAGGTCCAAAGTTAACCGCTTTTAGCCTCAAGCAGCGTTATAATGGACTTGCTGCCCTCTAACGCTCGTTCCAGCTTCCAGGAGGCATCAGGGTGCCCAAAGCTGACCATCTGCAGATGACAATAGCATAGGGATGGCTGTGCATGAAGTCCCATGCTTTTCTCACTAGTTGCTGCTAAGCATTTCCTTTTGCTTTCTAGAGATGGTGGCTGTACTCCTCCAAGCAGAAGTGTGAAACTGGTTGTGCCTGCACTTGGGACTGGAAATGAGGTGGAAGTACATGTAAAGACAGTTGAGCAGCTCTAAAGTAGCTACTGACAGCAGCACCGCAGTAGTTCCTTCAGACCCTGACACATTAGCCTAGTATTCAGACAGGTTTGTACAGACTGCCCTGCAAAGTCTCAAGCTGATTCAGGTAGGCTTATATGAATCAGTAGGCACACCACTTGCTTATAGACTAGATGTAACCTCCAATTTTGCTGTTTTTTCTGTTGGCAGTTCTGACCATAATGCCTGTACTGCAGAGGTAGATGGACTGAAGCTGAGCCAGCTCACCTTCACCAAGGTTTCCAGGAGTTTGCAAATTGGGTGGTCCTCTCCGCACCACTGGCACAGCAAAGCATAATGGAGACATAAAGTTGTATATTACCCATGGATTAAAGTTAATGCAGATCATGTTTCTGTGCTCACTCTCTCAGAAACTTCCTGACCTGTGCATCAAAATAGATGCAAAGGTGAATCTGGGCTTTGGAGCACTTTACATATTAGGGACATCAGTGAGCCTGTATGGCAAAAGTATGCCCATGTGAAGTGCCAGGAGAACTCTACAGAAAAAGCATCGAGTAGGAATCTGGTCAGGACTCCAGACAAATATCCAACCTTTTGAGCACCCTCCAGCACCCCCTGAAATGGCCATGAACACTGGTGGGTTGATCAGAATTTTAGGACCGTGCTAAGGGGCAAAAAGGGTCTGCAACCTCACAAGGAGTGATGCTCGGGAGGTATCTTTCATGACAGGAAAAGATCTTTTGGATACATACCTGAAGGAGGAAGGTAAAGGCTGTGCCCATGGCCACATTTGTGCTAGGGAAGACTGTTTATTAATACGTTACTATTTGGCACCACAGAAATGAGATGCAACACTGCCTTGGGGTGACCAACTGCCGTTTTGTATGAGTCAGTCATTCCACTTAATCAGCTTTGAATATTCCTCTTCTTGCTCTCGCTCCTATATTTTGTTTTGTTATATTTATTCACACTAGCTGTACATCATAACCAGTTTATCCACCCACACTTCCCTATCATTGCTGTGCCCCATTCTCCATTTGTTTGTTACACCCAGTACTTGCATCACGCTTTAATTACAATAATCTGCTCCAGGTAGGGACTCCATCTTCTTGAATGTTTGTACGGCACTCCTCTCCAAGACAGGCCATGGGATCATTCTCAGGGTTCCTGGGCACATCTGTAACACCATTCCTAATGGGAGCAATACTGTGTTAAGCCCACTGTGACCTAGATACTTCTAAAAGCACCAACTCAGACC